TGCACCAGACACGATGCCAAAAACACCCGCCAAAAACAGGTGCGCACTTTGACGGGATTCTTTTGCTGCATGCAGGGACTTGTGGCGTATGCAAACTGGTTGGCCTACGACACCTACCATCTCCCTGCCAGCTATGCTATGACAACCAAGAGCTTTGCCCACAGATCTTTGGCAAGGAGCTCCAAACCACCATGGAACCAGTGGTCGTACCTTAGAACTTCAGGGTGGAAAATCAGAGTGACAAGCAGTCGCTCAAGGCTCCTCTATGTTGAGCGATGCAGAAACTGAAGAGCTCGAACCACGAACCACGTGCAACTTTGGGATGGTGGCTGCTCTAGTTTTCCGAAAGCAAGACTCAGAAGCTCTGTGGCAAGTTTCCTCAGCACCTCATCAGCTAAAAATCACTTGAATTGGTATGCACACTGGTCGCAACTGCATTCACCTCGACCCCGGCCGTGGGCATCAGAGCTTACCATGGGGAGCCCTTGCTCCTCACTTCTGATTAATTCCGTCCACGGCAACCCGCGCGTGTTCTCTGTAGGAATACCCTACGCAAACCTACAACAATCAATGACGCATATGCGCTCCCTTCTCAGTTTCTCTCAACCTTCTTCTTTTCTAGCCAACCTTGCAATGCAAGTGCTGCGACAAGCACTCAGCAAGCAGTAACATGTGAAACCGTGCAAATAGCATCTGAATGGGGTTAGTGTGCGTTTTGGAAGGCAAGCCATGGGAGCGCGGGTTTGTTTTGCGCTGTTCCACTGTGCTCTGGGTGTTTTCTCGTCACTCTCGTCCTTTCAGGACTCCGTTCAAATTTGGCGCATCCACACACTCCGCTGATTTTGGCGCATCCACACCTTCCGCTGTTTCAATACTCCAACTTGCACAGCTGCTGTATGTAGCTCCTGAGCGCGCCCTTTCAGACTTCCAGACTTTACGCATTGCTCGGTTTCCCGGACCTTTGACTGTGCACCTAGCGCCTTGGCCGAAGGAGATATGTGGGTCAACCTGCTGTGAGGCTTTGGCTTTGGGCATCCGGCGCTGGGCAAAAGAAGAGAGGCAAGATGAGGCAAGGCGGCAAGACCCCCGTTTCTCAATGCGACCGTCAAGTGGCCAGCTGCAGTCGATGTTCCGCGACGTCTTCAGCTGGAACGCAAAGAACTGCTCAGCTCGCTCCTTGCCACACAAGCACTGGTGTAAAACATCTCAGAACTACAACAGCGCATTCTAAAAAAACGACCCTTTTGTGTTCACAATGCGTGCTGACCCCGATCCTCCTCCGCCGTGAAGGTTTCCGTCGCCAAGTGGCTCAACACCAGCTGTACATGAAGGATCCCGACCTCTTGAATTGAAGTCTTGGGAGTGCAATTTTGTGCAGCTCTCACAACAGGCGGCAGCAGAAGAGACGGTCGGCATCTGCATATGCCGAGTGGCTGTCCAGTTGGAGACGAGCACAAAGAGAGTGCGCTCCAGGGTTGTTTCCAAGCTACTGACCAAGGTGACCTGTCAAGCCGCAGTTCAACAAGTTCTCAACGCAGGATGATGCAGCTGTTACAACTTCGTCTACATCTGCATCCAGGCCGCATACCAAGTCCAAAACCTCAGTACTCCGAAGCCAAATGAAAGCTGCGAACATGTCGTAGTCTCCAGCACTTTTTGTCACTTTGAAATTTAAGCAGACACCGCTGGCAATCTGCACATGCTTTGAGAAAATCTTTCTTTGTCCATTATGCAAAGCTGTGAACCTGCGAACTCTGGGCCAGCGAACTAACTAACTGCCCGAGTCCTTTCTTTTGCTCACTGCCTGGAATCCCTAGAATGTCAAAATGCAGCTTCCATGCTACCAAGTAGCATAAGCATTCCCATGACATCAAGGAGACCGCCGCTAAGTTCCCTGGCGCCCGTTGCTGAGATAGCTCTCTGCAGAGCGGATAGCATCGAAATTAGATAGAAGTTGAATCTTCCGACCACCTTTGCGAGCAGTGCAAGCACTCTGAAGAAACTGACTCGCTCGTAAGCACGGGGATTGCTACGCATTGCGGCACCATGGAGCTCAGGCCACCGCCACTGACACTGGCAAAAAGGTCAAATGCTGGACCTCACTACTGGGTCAAGCTCACACGGAACCACGAATAGTGTCGCCCGGAAGGTGAAAATCTGAGGATTGCCCACAAGTTACAAGTTGGTGGCCGCTGAATTAGACATCAAGCAAACGATCGGAGAACCATGAGGCACTTCTATTGGCTCCTATTGGCTGAAGTTGAGTACTCACTTCAGCCGAAGTGTCACGCCCACAAAATCTAGCCAAGCATCCGAGACCAGCGTCTTGGTGAGAATTCCAACATGCGTTCCCGCAACATCCAGCTCCTACGCATCTTGCGGTGCTCAAAAGTGATGGGAAATCTCTCATGCCGTTGGGTTTCTGACTGTTGAGATGATTGAGACGACACGTTTTGGTGTGGTCAAGTTGATATCTTGGGGCGGGCAATATGTGGCACATTCGTCTGTAAGCACATGAGGACGGGTCCAGTCCTGAAGCTTTTGGACCGGAGCCCGCAGTGGAAACATGTCGTCCTATGCTCAGCCACACTTCATTGTCATACGAATCGCCCTGTCGCCTGCGCAAGCGATCCCAAACTGTCGTTGCTGCGCGCTGGACTGCTGGCCCTGGATCTCTGATGTCCAGAAGCAAGCTTTGCATCCGAGGAAGGCGCTTTACTGGCCCGACGCCCCGACTCCGGACTTGGACGACACGCGTTGGCATTTGTTGGCCTTCGTTGGCTCGTCGTTCTTGCGCCCTTCTTCCCATGCCGTGGGGATGTGTTCCGCTGCCCCTCCTCCGAGATGCAGAACTTCGGGGATCCCCATACGTCTTAACTCCCACACCTCACTCTCAGCTTCGTGAAATACATCCTAAACTTCGTAGGGGTTGACACTTTTGAACAGAACCCTGTTGTGCTATTGAAAACTTCCATGTTTCTCCCTCCGAGCAGGCAATCGGAATCGAGAGAAAAGCAGAGTGTGGGGATCTTGCAAAGAATGAAACTAAAACACTACCATAGACTGAGCAGCACGTCTTGCCGCCACAGGCTCAAGTCGGGGTAACGCTCTCCGGCTTGAGCCAAAGCATGTTTGCATCTGTCATCAATGTGTCGTTAATTGCTCGGGTCTGACCACGCCCTCAGGGCGTAAAGAGGGGGGGGTGGACATCTAAAGAGTGTCGTTTTCTCTCTCCATTCTCCCGCTGCTGGTTACTACGACGAGTTCCAGCAGTGCACCAACATATATGTTTTTTGCTAATTTTCTCTTTGCTTGCTCTTCTAAATGTTCTGCCACCGGCGGTCCTTCTTGGATATCAGCCACAAGGGAAGGTACCGGAATTGCGGATCCTCCTGAGAACAGATTGCATGCCACAAGGATCCGACTCAGACGCCGTCCGTTCACCCTGCAGGTGTTGCTAAGGTCCTGCGGACGCAGAGTGATCGCGTGATGCATCGAATGCTCCTTATGTCACTTGAATTCAAGACATCCTGTCGAAAAAGACATGCTGCAGCAGATGGGCTGTCGGACTGCCCTCGTATCACATCCCCACTCCATCTCACATGCAGCTCCGGGACTTCATTCCACATGCTTCTGGATATCCCAAAGAGCACGCTGGCAAGGAACCACCTCAATTGACTGTCATGTCTTGCCCATTCTAATTGCCACGAGTAAGTGGCCTGCTCCAGACATAGACTATCATGTCGGCTTGGCGTCGAAGACAATTCTTCTTCTTGAGTCTTACATGGCCACATTGCATTTGGAAACAAATTCGTCCTTCTGATGACACGCCTAGAACGGAAGTGCGAATTAAGAGTCAGGCTCCACTGAAAAGCAAGAATGTGGCATCAACTCCTTTGTGCTGCTATGCTGCGACAGGGGGTTAAACGAGCTGCCAACAGGCGGGTTGGTGATTCCTGAACAGCAGCCGAACGGCCGGCGCAGCGCAGCACAATGCAAATCACCACGATATTTGGGCATTGTTTCATGGCATCTTTCCATTCTGCTAGTCAAGGCAGCCTACTCCGTCAACCGAATGGACCACCCATCATTTCCAGTACTTTCGGCCTGAGCCTAAGCAAAGCTGGGAACATACAAGCCAGGATTCCCCAATGGTCCGCATCGTGTGCCAAGAAAGCTACCTGCTGCCAGGCTATGCCCAAAGCCTGGCAACGTATTTGGCAAGCAACAATTGACAACGGTAGCATTGCACAGCTACAACGTTGTCTGAGTCGATGACTGCCCCAGCAACCACAGTGCGGGTACAAGTCCACGCTGGGTTCAAAGAAGTGAGGGCCCCGACGACGAAGGCAAAAAGGAGGAGACATACGACCGCTTTGAAAGCCTTATTTTGCACGAGCCCATGACGTGAAAGCGGAGGAGTGAAGGAGCATTGTTTCGCAAATTGCGTCACCAAGTCATGCGGAGAACATGTACAGTGGGCATGTCTGGCACGTTCCACTCACAGAGCACAAGCATTGCATGGCTGCTGAAAGAGGATCACTCAGGAATAGGCAAGCTATGCAGTGCTCTAACAAGTGGCAAGTTGCAAAATATGTGAGTCGTGGCTTGAACCAGCCTTCCTCCCACAGCCGCTTCCTCAAAGCACCTCAGATGAGGGTCAACGCGCTTCAGTTAACAAAAACCTATCTTCGTGAGTGATTGCAGGAGCATGGCGCTGGCGTGTCTAAAAATCAGGTAGGAAATTAGCGCGGGTCGAGCCAGTGGCGCGGCGATTGATATCATGCCCTGGAGTGTCTGGGCGAAACGCGAAACATCACACATTAAGGCCGTGCCTGCAAGACAGAAGCGGTGCGAACTTCAGGGGCCGCTTTGTCGAAAGTAGACTTGACAGGTATCGGTGGCAGCTTGCTGACAATCAAGCACGTGCCTGCAAAACCTGCTGTAAAAGTGCATTAACAGTACAATATAGGTTGGTCGAGGCTTTATTTTAACCTTTTTTTGCGGTAAACCTTTTCTTCCGGGGGCTCCCTATTACAATATAGTCAAGGGCTTCCTTCTTGAAATGTAGAGGGAGGAAAATAAAGGTTTTCCTGTTAAAATCCGAAGAAAATTGAGGCTTTCCGATTAATATACAAAGGAAATAGAGATTGTCCTATTGAAACACATGGATCTGTAGGGTTTTCCCATTAAAATACAAAGGAGACAAGGTTTTCCGTTCAACGGCAGGGGTTTACAATTAAAAGTGAAAGGATATAGAGGTTTCCATACAAGGCGGACGAAAAGAGGGTTTGCCTATTGAATAAACAGAGAAACTAGAAGTTGTACTATCAACAGATAAAGGACAGAGAGGTCTGCCTTTTCAAAAGATTAAGGAGATACAAGTGGAGGTTTTGGAATTCAAGGATAGAATTAAAGGGCACACTGGGTTTCTAAAAAATACAGTAAAGACACATAGAGGTTTCCTTTAGAGGATTTCTGAACAACTTTAGGGTTTACTGTGTTGAACATGTTTGGTCTATGCGAAGGCTCGGAAGCAAGCATGCAAGAAAGCGGGTAGGGGGGGGGTAGGGGGGGTAGGGGGGGGGGGGGGTAGGGGGGTGGGGTAGGGGGGTAGGGGGGGGGGGTGGGGGGGGTTAGGGGGGGGGGTAGGGGGGGGGTAGGGGGGGTAGGGGGGGGGGGGGGAGCGGGGGGGGTAGGGGGCGGGGTAGGGGGCGGGTAAGGGGTGGGGTCCGGGGGGTAGTGGCATTTGCAACTCGCACAGCTTTGAAACAGCAGGGGGTTGGGCGGGGGCGCAGCCGGCCCAATTTGCAAACATGATTCTCGCATAATGGATTTCCAAAAACGTACGCATATGTTTTGAAGCATATGGCGGGTTAGGGTTTCGGGTTTAGGGTTAAGGGAGTCAATCTTTCTTTATTTATTTCTTTTTTGCTTTCTTTCTTTCCGTTGGCTGTCTTTAATTCTCTCCCTCCTCCTGGAGCTTGCTAGGGGATAAACAGAACACGAAAACCTCTATTTCCTCTGTATCTTACTAGGAGACCCTTATACCAAAAAAAATTAACACCTAAAAAAAGAAAGTGTCAAAATAATTGGGGGCCATAGACTTTCAATTTATTGCATTTATATTGTACTCTTACTGCACGTTCCTGAGATGCAATACAATCAAACACCGAAGTCATAACAAAAGCGGTTGGGCAAGCCAAACCCCATCGCCAACCACCCTGAAGACAGCTTTCCCCGCTCAGGGCCCCCAGACCCCACAGCTGAGCCCTCTAGAACCCTGCGTAACATCGGTTGCCCCCTGGCCCTCTTCCAGGCCCTTCGGAGGCCCTATGAGCCCAGAGGCCCTGAACTGCTGCACACAATGGGGATGATTGAACCCCGAATGTCTGCTCCAAAAGCACAAGAAACGTTAAACTTTAAGATGTATCAAAAGCATGAAAAACACAATGTTCGCCCTCAATGAAGCCCTAAGCCCTTACCCCAAAACCCCAGCCACAAAGCCTAGAGCACAGCTTGGCTCGTGGATTGCAAAAACCTCAATCCTGGAGCCACAGACTTTTAGTTCGAGTATCTACATTCCAAGTTTGGAAGGTGCGATACCCAGACAGCATGATACTTCGGATCAGGGGTTTTCTGCGAGCAGAGGGGGGGAAAGCATCACTCACATGCCCAGAAGTGTATGGCGTATATAACATCTGATTTTTTGCTTTGGGGGCGATGGCTAGGGGAATGTTCTAGGGTATGCTCACAACTCGCTTGACACAAGTTTTTTTGAGCTGCAGCTGCCGCTGAAGGAACTGGTGAAGCATGGACTTGAGAGTTGTGAGGCCACGTAACTTCACGATGCCGTCTTCTCGTTTGCGTGTGTGCTTGTGACTCAGGCTTTGAACATGTCGCGCATGTGGCCCGCGAACATGTTGCAAGCCAGAAGTATTGGCGAGGTCAAATATCTGAAGGTTCATGGTCGGAGTCGAAGGCTTAACTCATCTTAGACTTAAATTCCAAACATCTCAAGCCTGTCGATGCACCCTACATCACCTTTACGTCCTTTTACACTTTACACGCTCTAGGTACGAAGGTCTCTGCACTGCGTCAGTTCAGACACATTTCTAAGATTTTCGGGGACGAGGCACGATACTCCTTGGTCGCCTCGCTCGGCAAGTACTCATCGCCCACCACCTTCTCCGGAAGTGTGCGAAAGATTAAACGCAAGGAGGTCTGCACACTCGGCCTCTCCAATGTGGAACTGTGCAAGTCTCGCGTATACTCGAGGCCGATGAAAGGCAGCAAATTGGTCGCTGGCATCAACACCAGCATACCTGAGATGCCCGCTGTTGGATGGCAATCGCACACGGAACACGCAACCTGTATCACCTGAGTATCAGGCGTTAGTATTATAGGACCGCCTTGGTGCAGGGGCAGCATGCGGATTCCAAGGTGCTGTGTGCTGTCTCACATCTTGTGCACACATGCTGTGCAATCAAGTGCCTGGATGCCGGCGAGCAAAGCTCGTGACATCAAGCACTCGCCTCTGGAACACAGGTCTGACACGGTCGGACGTGGTTGACAGCAAGTCAAAGTCCGTGAAGTGAAGACAAGCTGCCCATCAATGACGATCCAGGCGTCATCAGGCGAGGAGTGCTTGCTTACCTATCGTATCTATCGCCTATCTCCGCTTAACAAAACTCCCCAGAACCATCGATTCGCTCCACATCGCTACACAAGTCGTGCAAGAAACATGCGTGACGCATCATGTGATGCGAATCAGCGCCTCATCCCAGCTCCACTTCCCCTTCACGGGTCTGTCTGTTCGCCGGGCCTGGGGTGATGGCTCTAGTCAGCATGTTATGGGAAACAGGGGCCAAGGTCCTTTGAAGCCTCTGGAGAAACGACATCGTGCGCATGGAATCTTCGACCCTTTGGCCTGAGGAGCAGAGGTCCCCCAGCATGCGACGACCTCGCGGTGCAGAGTGTCAGGTCGTCTCTGGAATCTCCGGTGCATTTATTGGCCTCGGAGAGGCCCACAGCAGCCACGCCGACAGCCGTGCCGATCCTTTGGCATTCACCGTTGCACACAACGAATGTCAGAAGATTCGGCTCGATCGCAAGCTGCCAAGAATCAACGCACTTGCAAAGATGGAGCCGCAGATGTGTCCTGGCAGCGCTTCCAAACGCTTTCACTAACGCAGGAGTGGAGGAGGCGAAAGGCGAGCCTATGTACTGCCCGAGCAGCCATGCCTTAGCGATCCATGCATTGTCAGCCTGTGAGTCGCCAGTCCAGCTCTGGCACGCTGTAACTACTGCAGCGGGCCAGACATCAAAATTGGATCACGGGGCAGTTCCGACCTCCCTCCTTATTGGATTACTCGTTCATCCAGGCACCCACTGCTGCATGGCCTCTGAGCCTCTGAGTGTTAAGCTTCGAATGGGGTGGATGTCTTTCTTCTTCGAGTTCGTGACGGCCCCCCCTTCCCCCCCCCCCCCCCCCCCCCCCCAAAGGGGAAGAGTTTGTTCATCACTTGTGATTGGATTCGGCCCTGTACTTTTCCAAGTCTTGAAAAGCTTCACAAGCTGAGAGTTGCAACGTCTTTCCACTGCCTGCAAGGCGCAGAGCATTCTGCAGCAGATCTTGCCGGATATGCTGTCCAGTTCTCAGCAGCATCCAACGCCCTTGCCAAACGGACTTCCAAATTCGTCTCGTGAAACACTATCAAACTCTCTCGGCACAGATCCGGCCTATTGTTGACGATCTCGCCTGGCTGTTGGCAGCTTCTCAGGGGGATTGTACGACCTTTCACACGTTGCGCGCCTAAGCGTCGCCCATTTTCAAATGCACTGCAGCATCTGCCAATGACCACCTAAGCAAACAGACGGAGTCAAGGGTCACACAATGTCACACATCTCACATAATCTCACGTGAATGTACACCGAGATGTTAGCCCACAGAAGGCAGTTAATGATCACCGACAGCGCTGCGGTGTTCACCTGGCAGTGCATCTACGATCCTCCAGAACGTCATGCGAAGAAAGGGGAACGGTTTCATGGCTCACCGTCTGGTGCTCACGAGCATGGATGCAAACCTCGGGAAGCAGGGCGGCATCATGCTCTCCCTTTGCGCTAGCACGTCTACGCCAAGCAAAACCAAGCGGCGAGGACCATGAAACTCACATAGCCCAATATCACAGGTCGGACTGATGTCGCCCGGGAATCATCGACCTGCAAAGGCGACTTGGCACACGGCTTGAACTTCAGGAAAGTGGAAGTTGAAGACTTGGGGATGTTGGGACTCTACGGTTTGAAGACTTGATGGCTCTGCTGATGGTTCAGACGGCTTCGGTCAGATAAGTCTCAACCTTGATGTCAAAGTTAATGCCGTGGGCAAAGACTTCCTGAGATGACACTGGGGCAAAGGTCGGTTGAATCAGAGTGTCTGCAATAGACGGAATCTGCAGCGAGCAGTACAGAAACAGAAGTACTGAAAGCAACAACTGCACCGATACAGTATGGAAAAATGCACATGCTAGAGTCGCTTGCGATGACAATCGACATGCCCGAGAGAAAGCCGCTCTGAAGTGCAAAAAGCCAGTCGCCTGGGTTGCATGGCAGTGCAGTATTTGCCTGCATCAGGCAGTTCCACGCAGTTCTACACATGCTCACATCAAAACCACATCGGTGCAGTAGCATCTCTGGTTGACTATTTCTTTGGACTTAGTCACCGTGAAGTTCGTAGACGCCCATCACAACAGCGCAAAAGAAAGTTGACTCCTGGGCAGCACAGACTCCTGCTTTTGGCAAGAGGGAGGGCAAACGCGGCAAACGCCATCCTTCAGCACGGCACACTTTCCAGTGCAAGGGGCAAGTGCGGAGCGGCCAGGATGCTGTCTCCAGTTCTCCGCGGTGTTGAGGATGCGGCCCTGCCGTGTCAGAAAGTGTGAAAAAAAAACCACGCATTGACACCCGGATGCAAGCCCAGGCCTGCAGGATTGTGCCCAAATGCCGGGTAGGTTCCCAGGCCTGGTTACAGACACATCGAGATACCGGTCACACCATCACAGGTTGCCCCGTATGCGCCTCAAACCTTCAATGACACAGCGTGGAACCGTTTGGTACAGTGAAATTGCGTTGTTGCGACATTCTGGCAAGACCGGGCCAGGAAAAAAACGAATCGAATACGATATGGAGTTCAACGACAGCACATCGGCCACATACAGTCAGGCAACTACAAGTACCGCACAAAGTCGGAAGTTGGATGGGCATCAGTCGAAACAGATCGGTCGGACAATACGGGACAGAGAGAAAGACAGGTAGCCCAGGTTGTTGTCATGTTCCGCGCCCGCCTTTCATTTGTTCTGTGCCCGCTTCCTGCTCCCAGATGTCGGCAGTTGGTGACAAAAACACAGAATCATTGTTCTGGTGCTCCAGGTACGGTTTGTCTTTGTCACGTGCCTGTTGCGTGCCAGCCCCGCCCGTGCTTCCGGAAACGAAAAGCGGGTGTCAGTGACTGTCAGTGACTGGAAAGGCTTGCACTGACACAACAAAGCCAAGCCAAAGGCCTGAACCCCAAGAAGCCCCAGATCCAAGATCCCGGCAAGGGGAGCTAGCCCCAAGCGCGTCTGTAGCAAACCATTACTTCTGCACGTAGTCGTAGTAGTCGTAGAAGTCGTAGTGGTCGTAGTGGTCGTAGCAGTCGTAGCAGTCGTAGTCGTCATAGCAGTCGTAGTCATAGCAGCAGCAGCAGCAGCAGCAGCAGCAGCAGCAGCAGCAGCAGCAGCAGCAGCAGCAGTCGTGGCAGCAGTTGCAATTGCACTTGTACTTATACTTGTAGTTGTAGTTGTAGCAGTAGCAGCAGTAGCAGAAGCGGTAGCACTCGTGGCAGTAACAACAGCAGGCCTAGCAGTACTGCCACCTTTTATTTGAAGTAGGAGATCCACTTCTTCTTGAAAAAGCCTCGTCTTCCAATTCTGCTTGCTCAACCTCTGATACCCCTCAATCCATCTGCAAAGTGTTAACATCGTTGTTTTGAAAAGAATGGGTCCAGGCATATAAAAGTGCGGCCATATGCGAGCCATGGACGACGATGAAGAGTGCTTGCGTTGCTGCTTCCTTGAAACTTCATAGGCGAACCTCTTTTGCCGCAATAATTATTTTCATAGGAGAACCTCTATTTCGTCTATACGAAGTAGGACAGTACAATGGCTTCTAGCCAATGCTGATCGGGCAACCTGAATTTCCTCTCTTTTGGAAAGGAGACATCCTTCATGTGCTCTGTATTATCAAAGAACAGCCCGCATTTCCTCCCTTCACGCATGGAGAAGCCAAAAGGCTGGGCGTGGGGTGGGGCGTAGGCCCGTTCAAGGGCCATGGAGGGAAACCCTGAACCCGAGCCTTCATGGCTTCACGATAGCGTCTACTCTGAACCTGCTTGCAGCCCCAAAACACCCTTTTTAAACAAGTAGCCACCCTCACAACCAGGCTCCCTGTCAGCGACCAACTCTTGCACAGGAGAGCGGCGCAGATCGCGACTGATTCAACCCTTGTTGCCAGAGCTTCGGGAAGCCTCCCAGCCCTTGCTGCGCAGATTTGGTTTCGACGAAGCATTCGACGGACCGACCGGCCGAAGTCCTGTTTAGTGCAAACAGCATTGTAGAAACTTGCACAGTGAAAATGGGGAGTGCAATGTCAACACAAGCAAAAAAAGTGCACGGGCGCGTTGTTTCTGCCACACGCCCAAGGCCCGGCTCATGGTGTTTGCTTTATTGGGGGCAAACGATTCTTTTGCTATGCGCCGGGCCGCTACAAAAAGTTGCAAGAATCGGTCCGATGCCTACGCGCCGATTTCCCGACTCGTGCATCCGCGTGTTCCAGCTCTCGGAGCTGCTTCCGACCCAAGCCTCCCCATATCTCCGCACACCTCCAACTCAACGAAACGTATTTTCCGACTCTGCGAGACTCGACGCGGCGTTGGTTTTTCGGTTTACCTCACTCGCTCGCCATCTGCGAAGAGCAGGCTGCACAGACGCGACGATGCGCATGCTGCTTACTTACAGCTCATCTATCCGCATGCAACCATGGCAGGCCATGATCAAAACCAAGCGAGTTCATGATTTAGCAAGTTGCGCCAAGCGGCTTTGCACACACGGGCTGCTGCGAGTATAGTAGCCCCTCCAAGGACCTGCACTGGTAGTACGCTCACGCTGTGTCTCTGCCAAAGCCTTCCTAACATGGTCCTGCAGCTGTTGCAACGCAGCCAGCACGCATAAAACAGGAAGTGACGAAAGCCATATGACTTCGTTGATGTCATACACGTCGGAACATGCACAGGCGATCGCTAAGTCACGGACGAGCATTCCGGCCAACACTGCCAAGTCGCTACCTGGCACGATCAGGGGGTTCCAGTTCAGATCTGTCACTGGCTTGTCACAGTTGTCACAACAGAAACAGGGCAAGCCGCAGTTGTTATAGATGGTGCTCAGGACCTTGTGACAGATCAGTTGCAACACGACAACAAAGCACATACTTCTTTGGAGGCACAATCTGCTTTCGAACGAAGTATCTGAGCAGAAAGCAGTCGGACCAAAGAGAAGAAGCCCAACAATGTTCGAAGTGACAAGGTTCTCCTCCTGGCACTCAAAACGCGCCCTAGTAGAAATGTGTGAGCTCTGTGTCGCAACTTAGACACTCCGACATCTCTGACCTCCTCCGTGTGGACTTTTAGCCGCGCTCTGCAGGCCGAAGATTCTCGCAGCACCCTGACACCGGCATGTCAAACATGAAACGCTTGAATCATTGAAGGCCAGACAAGGCCGCCTTTCTATGCTGCGAAGTGGTTGCTGTAGGAGCTCGCCCAACACGGCAAGCACGGCACCTGCAGGAGGGCATGTGAAGCTTTAAGCGGCGGCCAGGACAATTCAGTTCAGAAATGATCAAAAGATCAAAGCCTGCACAGGTGCCAAACGTCAGAGCCGCAACAAGTCCGACAAGCCCCCCAGCCGAACTGACCTCGCAGTGACAGCTGTAACATGCTGCAACGATGCCCTTTTAAACGAATGCTGCTTGATACTGAAAGCTACTAGTAGTGAGGATGAGACGTAAGTTGACCAGACAACCGTGAGCCACAACGAAACCTCGCAAAAGCTGCGAAGCGTGTCTGACCTTGGCCGCGCATGTGCAACTAGCTGGAAACTGCCCCATGTCGCCATCATGAGGCAGCATGTGGATGCAACTAGCTAAGCGTCTGGCTCCCAGTTGCTCCGGGCGTTCAGAACTCTGTCCACCAGCATTTGGCCTTCAACCAGCTTTGAGCGCCGTATGCCGTGAACTTGAACTTGTCACACAAGACGAGGCCTAGTCTTTCCGTAAGGCGGGCTTGCAGAAGCAAAGGCCCGCAGATGACCTGAGCAACGTTTCTGTGTATTTGCCTCATGATACAGACTCCCACAAGATGTGACTAAGACACAGGCATAACTGAGCGAAGCCAAAGCAGCCAAAGCAAGGGCAGTTTTGCCAGACATGGTAATGAAGCCTGAGGACGTGCAGCAAATTCTGCAGTTGGCTGCCCCACTCCAAGAGAAAAATGACAAACCAGCCGAACTAGATTGGTGCAGTCAGTCAGTCAAGATGCTCATGTACACCAAGATTTCCAGGGAAAGCCGCCCAGCTAGCAGAATGCCGCAGGCTATGGCGGCCACCGAGGCTGCACCTCGAAAATTCTGAAGAGGCGGCATGCAGACATCAGAAACTTGCGTGGCTTATGAGTCTCCGGGAAGGCGGCTTCCGGTTTGCCCCATCATCTTGCCTGCCTCGCACAGCTCAATGCTGGTACTTGGGATGCTTCTTGCCAACAAGCACAATGCGGACACTTGCTGGACCTTGCCATTCTGCGACTGTCGTGCAAGCCACGCTGTTCCAAGCTTTATGCAGGGCAAATGACACTGGTGCCTAGTTGTTGACGGTTCCCGTTTCGAGGGCTCGGTGGGAAGTGGCGCGGCGCAGGCGCTCATCTGCTTTCACATCGAGACCAGCACGCTTCCAGCCACGGATCGGAATTGACAACTTTCTGGCGGACGTGCAATATTGCTGCTTTTGAACGTAGCTGAGATATCCTTGCTGAGTGTCGATGCGCAGCAATACAAAAAGTTTTAGGGCTGCCATCCTGACAAAAGCTTGTGTCACACATCTGCAGCACACCGGCACACCGGGCATGGCGCGCACGCGCGAGAGAAGAAAGGCAAGGCGGGAGATGTGCAGAGATGTGCAGAGCAAGGGTTAACAGGGTTAACCACAAAGGCCATGACCCAGGGCTGGGGAAGCCCTGAAGGCTCTGGCCGAGATGATGCTCAGGTTGCGGCTGATGCGTCAGCAGAGCCTGCAACACATCGCCATTGCCGCTTTTGGTCACACGGCTCCATGCCGACTACGGCTGAGAAAACCCTCAGGAAAATAATCCGAAACATTTCGAAACCAATGTGGACAAGCTCTAGTAGATCGCTTGCTGAGCAGTGTTTCTTGCGTGCAATACATCAGCTTGCGAGATAGGGTTTATATTACTGTTACTGGTGAGTGTAAATAAGGGTCCTTTTCAATATTGGTGAGTGTATCTACTCGGCGTCCTTTTGGGGATACAAGAAGTAAAACCCTACTTCAATATGTTCTTTCAGGCACCGGAGAATTGTGTTTGAACCTCAATCTGGACCGCCAGCAGACTGCAATCAGACAACATTTGATCAATCTCATCTACCGTCAGCGGCAGCTAGGGGGCAATGATAAAGAATGTTAGCAGCGTCCACAGAACGCACCTCGGCAGGGGGTACAAAGCCACCCCGGGCCCGGGCAAAGCGGGTCGCGTCGCGACACAACTTGTATACAGCTTGCACGACCAACACAACAGCATTCTTGTGAAGCGGCAGCTCACAAAAAAACGCTCTCCATTCTATTTTGCATCCGATGACGGCTCACCCAGTGGACGCCGAAAGTGGCACGCTGATGCTCAAGAGGCAGCCTCCTTCCTAAGTGCACGTGAGTGCTGTTTTGAAGCTTTGTGCGTAGCAGCATAGCACTGCTGAGACTGACACGGATCACGTTCCCATTGACCCCTTTTGCCCATTCCTGGCCACAAGGAGTTCTGCCTTCTCTGCAGTGCTCGAGCGAGTATCTGCTACAAGGTACTACTATGTCACTATGTGCTACCGCACCGGCCCTGGAGTAACTGAGCATGCTGAGGCCTGGCGTGAAAGGTACAGTAGTCGTTGGCAAACTGAAAGAATTTCCCTTGAGTCCATTAACGTTTGCAACCAGGTGTATAACTGTGTAACTGAAAGCTCCTGATCTGTGCGGGCCTGAGTTGGAGGAAGCTCAGATGAAGCGAGCCAACAGCTCCAGCAATCCTGAGCATGCAGCAAACTGCAACAAGACTGCTTTGCAACCCCCGAACTCTACGAACACTCTAGGGGATATCGTTTTTCTTGCGCAGGGGGAGGGGGGGCTGTGGGTCCGGATCCGGGTGTGTCCGGGTCCGGGTCCGGCTTTGGGTTTGGGTCCGGGTCGGTCCATCCGGGTCCGGGCCCGGGTCCAGGTCCGGGTTGCCGGGGCCCGGGTCGCTGGGTCCGGTCGGGTCCAGTGGGGATCCGGGTCCGGGTCCGGTGCGGATCCGGGTCCGGTCCGGGTCCGGGTCGGGGACCGGGGGGGAGCGGTGTACGGACGTTGAGGCGCGAGAAAAGCGTGATTATGACACTCTAGGGTCTTTCTATGTCCATATTGGTCCATAGCACAATGGAGCCAAGCCACCATTCAGAGGCCACTCTTCCCAGCATCCTGAGGGCCCCAAATGGCCCAAAACATGAAAAAAATCGACATCCTCCAGATGCCTTCAGAAGTGACTCTTTCATGTTTACCCCTGTTTTCGCACAGGTCCTTCAGATATCGCACCTGTTTCCCAGGCTTCCTCCCTCTGTATCCATCATTGCTTTCCTCAAGCGAAAATGGCGAAACTTCCAGATCGTACACCTCATGCCCCTCATGCCCCTGGTTGCAATCTAGCATGTCTAGCATGTCTCATTCCAAACTCATTCCAAAGGGCCGAAGGATCTGGAAGAATCTGGGCACCCTGGACCTTCCTCTTGAAAGCGGCCGCCTGAGGCAGATGATGCTAGATGCGGGAGGCGGAGCCTTCGTGTCGGGTCATCAATGCAGCGGCGCCTGATTCGCTGCAGTTTGTGCATCTTGCACATGAGCCTGACAGGGGCTATGCCGGCTTTGCAGGGCCAGGGTCACCTTGACATCGCAAAAAACATCAACTCGAAAGAAGCATAGGCTAGCATAGGCACCGTCGCGAGGACCGGCTCCGGGATGGTGTCACCACTGCCACCCTCAACACGTGTTATGGCTTTGGCATTCACAGCACTGCTCCGTGGCACAACTTACGCTTCGCGAGCTCTCTTTGATAGAACTGACACTCTACTTGAATACTGGCTCTCTGGAACAGACTTGTGCTCTATGGTGGCCTGCCGTGGGAAGGAAAACCTTCGCCTGACTTCCGAGTCGTGTGCTGGCTTCTGCGACCTCCCACCACTCTTGCGGACTGCCTGGGCCTGAGCGACATGTTTCGCAGACGAGGCCCTCACCAAAAGTAACTCACAACAACTCAACACCACTGCTATCGACCACAGGTGGAGAAGTGCTATTAGGAAGCAGGCGCTGCCAACGGTCAAGGTAGACTGATCTTCCTGTGGTCTCCGTGGCTTAAACAGGTAGGCACATGGTAGGCACACAGTCGGCACACACTGTGCGAGAAAGCTTCTTCGCAGTTTCCCCGCCTTGCTGAAAGCATACGTGCAGGAGTCCGAGTGCTTTGGAGTGCCATCTGTCTGAAAAGTGTAGCAATTGCCCGGCGATAGCTCGAGGCTGAAGCGCTTGCAGGATGGATCGCTGCTGCAAATGTGGGCACAGTGCTTCAACGATGCTCCGATGGCAACCGCTTGGAGCGGCCCGTTCCAAGAACCTCTCAGCATCAACTTGTAGCCCTCCAGCTCTTCGGAAGGGCAATCCCTTCCAAACTCCTGCACAGGCAACTTGGAACTGTAGAGGTGGTGCTGACGCTCACAGAAGCTACCTCAAAGCTAGCTTATGACCGATGAAGACGCACAGCAGCTCAGCGACTTAGGCTACATGGCTGGTTCGTTCGTTTTGCAGGGCGCAGTAGTTCTGGCGGTTTGTGGCATTGAAAGCTTTGCTTGAGTGGGTAGAACATGGCGTGGAATGAAAAGGGATGAGCTACCTTCCCAAACATCAAATGCCGGGACGAAGTCCCCGTCGCAATTGCCTAACGGAGAGGCACCAGCTCGCAAACGCTCCATCAATCCCCGCCACACCCGCCCGATGGACACGTGCCTGTCTCTTTTGCGAACTCTGCACCGCACACTTCGGCACTTCGCCAATCGAATGAAGGGGGCCACCAAATATAGGTCGGATGAACAACATCCAAGTGAATCCAGCTACTGCCATGCTCGCGCCTGAACATCCCATGCGCCTTGTGTGCTTAACTTGAGTTTCCCTCCTGTCATGCAGAACCGGCTGAGTTTCGCTATCGCTTTCTTTGCCTGCGCTTGCCACGCACACCTCGCTCTAGCAGCACACTGTCTGGGTCCAGGAGGCGAACATGCTTTGCATTGCTTTGCTCAGTGCATCTCTGCACTGATAGCCTGGGGCATGTACACACACTTGCTAACTCAAGAGCGGGGCCTTGCCCGGATTCGATTCCTGCTGACGGGCAACGCATTCTTGCACTCACACGGCTGCAAGTGAGTCCGGCCGTCCTGCTTCGTGCCTGTAGATTGAGCGGCGGCGGCGCCGACGCCGGTCTACGGCAAACGCACATGAAGGTATCAACATGAATCGAAGGCAGCACAGAAAGCCCCGTGACTCAGCATGCATCCCCGAAGCCACCCAGACAAAACCAACAAGCATGAAGTGTTCCTGCTGCAGCCTCCGCGTCGTGTGTTCCAGGTGACCCCAAGCCCCATCGCCCCGTTGCATAATCGGCCAATATCGCCCCATCGCCCTACTGCCCAATCCTCACAAATGGCCCCTGTTTCGCGAAGTTGCCCAGTCAACGATGCCACATGGCACACACCAAGGGCGGCGATGATACTCTGCTTGGGGAAATTGGGGTTCTTGTGTTTTCCGTGCACACCTCGCTTTACTTCGCACCCAGGAACCACCTTGAATCCAAGGCGACACTGCGACGTGTGTTTGCGTAGGTCCAGGAGGCGAACATGCTTTGCTCAGTGCATCTCTGCACCGATAGCACGGGGCACGTACACACACTTGCTAACTCAAGAGCGGGGCCTTGCCCGGACTCGATTCCTGCTGACGGACAACGCATTCTTGCACTCACACGGCTGCAAGAGGGTCCGGCCGTCCTGCTTCGTGCCTGTAGATTGAGCGGCGCCGCCGCCGCCGGTCTATAGCAGACGCACATTCATGAAGGTATCAACATGAATCGGAGGCCATACGGAGCAAGGACTTATCTCCACGGCTGTCATCGTCCATGACAAGGTGTCACGCGAGCTTCTCGAAAAGTTCATGCGCAAGGGAACACATCGCTGGCCCATGATGTCGGCAAAAGCTTCGGATGAAAACGCTCGAAGACCCCATCATCTACAGTAGTACGTTGACAATTGCGGATTGGTGGAACGTACGGGTCTCCTCGGCCGACATTGATGTGTCCTCGTCCTCCTCATGGAGTGCCTGCAGGCGTAACACGGATCAACATGGCAGTCTTGCACGGCACACACTGGCCATGCAACCAGCGTGCCGCGCAGAATAGATCGCAACAGGGGTATGTCTGGAATTCGATTTGAACTTGCGATCTAAGTCTATTTAGTCCGAGAAAGGGTTAGTTGTCGAAGACGAGCTTGTTCCCACGGATTGAAATCGATTTCAAGCCCTTGGTGCGGGTACGGATAAAATCGATTTTAATCGTTTTTGAGGTCGTGCAACGTTTGGTTGAAAATCGAATTTAATCGATTTCGAAAACCCATTCTTTAGCCCATGTTTGGGCATCATGCAACGCAAATGGCCCTTTGGAGAAAAATCGAATTTAATCCGGTTTGGAAAATCCATTCCTTTTCCCATGTTCAAGGTATTGTGTCCAAGGCCTGAAAAGGCTTGGGACTTGGCGTTTCCAAGCCCCGAAAAGTCTTAAGTTTGATTTCTTTCTTGCTGTTGGCGCTTGGGTCCTCAACGTGGGCTTGGACTGAAGAAGCCGGGGCTGGGAGTGGACCACACCTGCACCCCCACTGCACCCTGATTTACCCTGGACCTCATTGGACCACCCAGAGCAAAGGCCTCTGGACCACTCCTGTACAGCTCCGATATAGCAAAGACCCCTGCGCCTCTTGCACCCCCCTTTATACAGAGCGACCACTCCTGTACAGAGCCTCCCCCAAAGGTCCCCAGAACCAGAACCGGATTGAAATCGATGTTAATCCGGTTTTCGGGCGGAGCAGGTGACGGACTAAAATTGATTTTAATCCCTTGGAGCTTAGAGGCGCATTAAAATCGATTTTGCGCCGGCTGGAGATTGGCACGGATTACAACCGGCTTTAAGCCGACGAACCAAACAGCAGTTTAAAATCGATTTCAACTCGGTTTTCAATGACCAGCGGCTTAAAATCAATTCCAGTCCAGCACATGCAAATGATTAGCTTTGCACGGGCCAGAACGGCTTGAAATCGATTTCAAGCTGTTGAGTTGGTCGTCGGCGACAAGTAAATTCATTGGACTAGAACTGATTTTAATCGAAAGGTAAGATCGAATTCCAGCCATATTCATCGCAATAGCATCAGTGGAGCCGGCGCACTCGAAAAGCAATTGGCGCCTGCGATGTCGAGGTGTCCGAATTCGCCTGGTTCTCCTCCTCCGGCATATTTAAGGCAAGCCAGCTAACATCGAAAAGGCCCTGCGTTGGGCAAACTGTATGTATTGCCACAGCACACTGCAAACCTGTCCCATCACGCTAGCGATAGGCACCACCGATTCAGCGTGAGCAGAAGAGTGAAGGTTGTGGTCTGTTTGAAAGGGCTCATGAGTGGCTCATGTCTGGTATGCCTTTGCTCTGTGGCATCACAGCCTCTGGAGAGTATGAGCCTGTAGTGCAAACAGCTGCACGCAAGTAAAGCTACCGCACACATGTCCTTGCAGGAAAGTGTTCCAAAGAAAAACAAGGCTGTATCAGGCCTTGGCAAGCACTACTTCAGCAAACGCTCGAAGTGGCCCATCATCTACTAGTAAAGGAAAATTCTCCAAGTTGTGCAAGTTTCACGCGCGAACACGTCTCCTCGGCCGATGTTGATGTCTCCTCGTCCTCCTGGTGGAGCGCCTGCAACGACTCGCAAGGCACGCACGCTGTCCAGGCAACGGCTTTTCCAACGTGCTTGCAGCTGCACTAGCTTGAGAAGCCGCTCCACGCAACCACAGCGGCGCCTGCGATATCGATGCGTCCACGCTCGCCTGGCTGTCCTCCTGCAGTCTCAGCCAGCATGCTTCCACTCTGAAACACCAGGATGTAGCTACCGCGTTGTTTATCTGGAATCTTGACAGCACACAATGAGAAGGCTGTGGTCTTCTTTGCAAGGGCTCGTGAGTGTCTCGTGTCAGGCATTTGATCTGTGGCATAACAGCCTCTTGAAGCTACCACGGGCACGTCTTTGCGGGACGTGCTCGAAAAATTCGAAAGACCACCGAAGACACGAAAAAGGCGAGCCACCAAGCCACCAGGTTGAACAGTCGAGCGGGCGAGCCAAGCGTGCGAGCCAAGGAGCCACCAGATTGAGCCACCGAATGGCGAGCCACCAAGAGCCAGCCACAGAGCCACCAGATTGAGCCACCAAGGAGCAACCGATGAGCCAACCACCGGACCAGATGAAGCCACCATCAGCAAGAGCGAGCCACCGAGACACGGGTTGAGCCTGCGAACGGACGAGCCACGGAGCTACCGGATTGAGAAAAACGAGCGAGCAACCAAGCGCTCGATTATTGAGCCACCAAGCGCACCCAGCCACCGAGCCACCGAGCGAGCCACCGAGCCACCAGTGCGCGAGCTAAGGAGCCACCCGAACGGGCGAGCGCGAGCCACCAGACCACCAAGTGCGAGCCACCGAGCCGCCAGATAGAGCCACCAGAGCGAGCCACTGGGTTGAGCCACCAAGAGATACCGGATTGAGCCACCAAGCGCAAGCCACGGATCCACCAACGAACGGGCGAACAGGCGAGCCATCAAGCCCAACGGATTGAGCCACCGAAGAGAGGAGACGAGGAGCCCAGGAACCCGGCAAATGATACCCGCGTGAAGGGAGACATAGGGGACAAGGATGCATGAAACGAGACAAGGGAGACAAGGAGCCCGGGAACCCGGCAAAGGCCGGAACAAGGCTCTATCAGACTTTGCAAGCACTAGTTCAGCAAGCGCTCGCAGGGCCACATCATCTACTAGTGCATGCTGTGGTCGCTTTTGTGCAAGGTTCTCGTACGAACAGCTCTCCTCGGCCGATGTCGATGTTTCCTCGTCCTCCTGGTGGGATACCTGCGAACACAACAACTCACAAGGCACCCAAGCTGTCCAGGCAACGATTTTTCGCAACGTACATGCGGCAGCGGCGACTGCTCGGCGCACTCGAGCAGCCGACCGCACTCGCAATGTCGATGCATCCGGGTTCGCCTGGCTCTCCTCCTGCAGTCTCAAAGCTACAGCGTTGTTTATCTGGCACGTTGAATCTTGACAGCACACAATACAACAAGGCTACATCAGACCTTTGCAAGCACTACTTCAGCAAGCGCTCGCAGGGTCACATCATCTACTAGTGCATTACTGTACTTCTGCCATGCTCGCTTTTGCGCAAAGTTCTCGCGCGAACAGGTCTCCTCTGCCGATGTAGATGTCTCCTCGTCCTCCTGGTGGAGCGCCTGCAACGACTCGCAAGGCCACACGCTGTCCAGGCAGCGACTTTTCCAACGTGCTTGCAGCACTAGCTTGAGAAGCCGGTGCAGCAGCGGCGCCTGCGATGTCGTTGCGTCCACGTTCGCCTGGCTCTCCTCCTGCAGTCTCATGCTTCCAGCCAGAAAAACTGGGATGTAGCTACACTATTCGATCTGTGGCATCACGGCCTCTTGAAGCTACGACGGGTACGTCTTCGCAGGACATGCTCGAAAGACAAAACAAGGCTGTATCAGACCTTTGCAAGCACTACTTCAGCAAGCGCTCGCAAAGTCAGTCGCTTTTGTACAAGGTTCTCGTACGAACAGCTCTCCTCGGCCGATGTCGATGTTTCCTCGTCCTCCTGGTGGGATACCTGCAAACATAACAACTCACAAGGCACCCAAGCTGTCCAAGCAACGAGTTTTCCCAACGTACATGCGGCTGCGGCGACTGCTCGGCGCACTCGAGCAGCCGACCGCACTCGCAATGTCGATGCATCCGGGTTCGCCTGGCTCTCCTCCTGCAGTCTCATGCTTCCACTCAGAAACACTAGGATGTAGCTACAGTGTTGTTTATCTGGCATGTTGAATTTCAACAGCACACAATGAGAAGGCTGTGGTCTTGTTTGCAAGGGTTCGTGAGTGTCTCACGTCAGGCATTTGATCTGTGGCATCACGGCCTCCTGAAGCTACCACGGGTACATCTTCGCAGGACATGCTCGAAAGACAAAACAAGGCTGTATCAGACCTTTGCAAGCGCTACTTCAGCAAGCGCTCGCAGGGTTACATCATCTACTAGTGCAGTGCTGGTCATTGCCATTGTCGCTTTTGTGCAAGGTTCTCGTACGAACAGCTCTCCTCGGCCGATCCCGATGTTTCCTCGTCCTCCTGGTGGGATACCTGCGAACACAACAACTCACAAGGCACCCAAGCTGTCCAGGCAACGATTTTTCGCAACGTACATGCGGCAGCGGCGACTGCTCGGCGCACTCGAGCAGCCGACCGCACTCGCAATGTCGATGCATCCGGGTTCGCCTGGCTCTCCTCCTGCAGTCTCAAAGCTACAGCGTTGTTTATCTGGCACGTTGAATCTTGACAGCACACAATACAACAAGGCTACATCAGACCTTTGCAAGCACTACTTCAGCAAGCGCACGCAGGGTCACATCATCTACTAGTGCAGTACTGTACTTCTGCCATGCTCGCTTTTGCGCAAAGTTCTCGCGCGAACAGGTCTCCTCTGCCGATGTAGATGTCTCCTCGTCCTCCTGGTGGAGCGCCTGCAACGACTCGCAAGGCCACACGCTGTCCAGGCAGCGACTTTTCCAACGTGCTTGCAGCACTAGCTTGAGAAGCCGGTGCAGCAGCGGCGCCTGCGATGTCGATGCGTCCACGTTCGCCTGGCTCTCCTCCTGCAGTCTCATGCTTCCAGTCAGAAAAACTGGGATGTAGCTACACTATTCGATCTGTGGCATCACGGCCTCTTGAAGCTACGACGGGTACGTCTTCGCAGGACATGCTCGAAAGGCAAAACAAGGCTGTATCAGACCTTTGCAAGCACTGCTTCAGCAAGCGCTCGCAAAGTCAGTCGCTTTTGTACAAGGTTCTCGTACGAACAGCTCTCCTCGGCCGATGTCGATGTTTCCTCGTCCTCCTGGTGGGATACCTGCAAACATAACAACTCACAAGGCACCCAAGCTGTCCAAGCAACGAGTTTTCCCAACGTACATGCGGCTGCGGCGACTGCTCGGCGCACTCGAGCAGCCGACCGCACTCGCAATGTCGATGCATCCGGGTTCGCCTGGCTCTCCTCCTGCAGTCTCATGCTTCCACTCAGAAACACTAGGATGTAGCTACAGTGTTGTTTATCTGGCATGTTGAATTTCAACAGCACACAATGAGAAGGCTGTGGTCTTGTTTGCAAGGGTTCGTGAGTGTCTCACGTCAGGCATTTGATCTGTGGCATCACGGCCTCCTGAAGCTACCACGGGTACATCTTCGCAGGACATGCTCGAAAGACAAAACAAAGCTGTATCAGACCTTTGCAAGCGCTACTTCAGCAAGCGCTCGCAGGGTTACATCATCTACTAGTGCAGTGCTGGTCATTGCCATTGTCGCTTTTGTGCAAGCTTCTCGTACGAACAGCTCTCCTCGGCCGATGCCAATGTTTCCTCGTCCTCCTGGTGGGATACCTGCAAACACAGCAACTCACAAGGCACCCAAGCTGTCCAGGCACCGATTCTTCGCAACGGCAGCGGCGACTACTCGGCGCACTCGAGCAGCCGACCGCACTCGCAATGTCGATGCGTCCACGTTCGCCTGGCTCTCCTCCTGCAGTCTCATGCTTCCACTCAGACATGATTCGACTCTGAAAAACCAGGATGCGGTCAGTTGTGCATCCCTGCAAACATGTCCCACACGGCAACGGCAGTATCAATTCAGCATGAGCAGAAATCTTGAGAGTATGGGCCTGTGGGTGCGAACAGCTGCGATACCTGAATTCGAAGGTTTCTGCATCAGCCTTTTGTATTTGGCGGTTGCCTCGCAAGGTGCGGCAGTTGAGCCCTGCGGCATGCACAAGTGGGCGGACACTTGCCACGGCCACCGCGGCCACCGTCACTCTGGGAAACGAGTGGGGCACACGGAGTGCGCCGTGGCGGGCTGGTGCAGGCATGTGCAGGCCACTGCAATGTCCATGACCACGTGGGGATGCTGCTGGTGGAGCAGCCCAGACAAATTGCCCGTAGGTGAGAGGACATGGGCTTCTTTTCGGAAGTTGTTTCCAAAGAAAGGCTGTCCCTATCAGACCTTTGCAACTAGTACTTCAACACTACTCGGACAAAGTACCGAGATCGCCCGTGTAGTCGTCAACAGCTTCGGGCGACGACATGCCAAACTCCGAGATGTTTGCTTGTTGAAGGACCCCATCTTTTATCAGTAAATAAGTATTGATGATACATCTGGTACGTTGGTGCACTTCTTTGGAACTGTCTCGCGCGCATAAGACTCCTCGGTCGATGTCGATGTCGCCTCTTGATCATCCTGCTGTTGGAGCTCCTGCAACCGGAACAGGGACGATCTTGCAAGGCACCAACGCTTCCTACGGAGCGCGATGATTTCCAGTGCCCCATGTGGGCTACGAGGAAATGCACATCTCAGGAGCTGCAACATGTCCAACAACGCAATCCGAGGTACCAGGATGTATCAAGAATTTGTGACAGCTTTAGGGCCTGGGTGTGACATGGCGTGACCCACATTGAAATCGCCCTGGATTCCATGCCTCCTCAGGCTCCCCAGCAGGCCCCTCCAAGACCTGCTCTGCTGTGGCTTTCCACTTAGATCAGACGTAGTGGCCACGTGAGCATTGTCAGCACCACAAGCTGCCACAACAAGCTGCTACCTCCTCGATCTTCGTCAAGAGTGGGGCATGTTCTGCTGGGATCTGGGCCTCAAGCAAGGCTGCAGTAGAAGCCCGACAACAGCCTGCGAAAGTGGTGCCAGAGCTGTTTGTTCCCAAACTCGCATGTCGGCATCGCCGGGCATTGGCGCAAGCTCGCGATCAGCGCAGCTTGGCTGCTGATCGCTATGCACTACAAAGTCATGGTATCCCTCAAGGTCAAGTACATGCTGTAGACGTGACATTTCAAGCCTTCTGCTGGCGAACTGGCCACTGCAGGTAGCTGCTGGTGGATAAAGTAAGTGGCGTGTGTGAAAAGCATGAGGCGCGTCACTGCTGCAGCTTGTTGTCCATGACGACATGGCCCACCTCATTGCTCAATGCCGCATGCCACATGAGGTTTAAGTTGACCAGGCTGTCTCAGATGAACGGCTCGGATTCTTTACACACGGAGACTCTGCCTTCCAGACCTTGCAACATGTTTATCGCACTTGCCAGTACTTCATTTCAAAGGTTAGTGTCAGAGGGGCTCGCTTTATGCGGACCTCTGAGCCTATGGGCACAAACGTCCAAGACACTCTTACAGAGTCCACATGTCCCAGATTACGTGCAGGCAGCGGGTCGCCGAACAAAATGTTGAATGTTCTTGGCACAAAAAAATTGAAGTCAGGCACTCTCGCCAATTTGTGCGAGATGGACTCTGTATCAATGAGTTGCGAATTCATTGTGGGGTCTGCGGCCGCGCACATCTCGTGGACGGCTCAAGCCCCACCGGAATGTACATGTGGCCCATCTTCAGGTGAGATGAGCAGTAAAAGCATCGGTCAATTCACCGCAAGAGGATTGGCATATCCTGGCATTCACTCGTGTCGCTCATCCAGGTGCACGCTCACGTCGAGCGATGAGTCGCTGACGGGCTGCACTGGATCGACGGGTGACATAATTGGCTCACGCATCGTTTTGCGATACTTTACCACCCGTACCGCTGCACAACTAGCAGCACTGATTCCACCAAGCAGGGCGCCAATGGAGATAGAAAGCATCAGTGGGCTGGCTTCTTCAGGAAGCTCGGGCTCATCATCCCAAATCATGCCCTCGTTGGCCTCGTCACTGAGGGTGGACAACGATCTGGCATCAGCACGCACCTTCGGTGCGGTCTGCTGTGGTTCACCCACCACTGCCCGAACTCCATTCGCGGGCAAGGACATCACTCCCTGCAAGCGCTTCATGAGCAGCCCATTCATCTTTTCAGAAGCCGATCTCCCACGGTGTAAAGCTATCAGCCTGGCCTCGACCATGTCCAGGAAATCCTGCGTGTACTTTGCATGAGGAGCCAGACTGGCATCTGGCAAAACCTCGAAGTTGATAACCAAGCATGCCCCATCCGGAAGCGAACTTCGCGGGTTCAACCGCGCGGCAGCCTCGCAGGTTAGCATCTGGCCCTTTGTAAGCCGCACCTGCTCTTGCGACACCGCTGGTAGACTGTCCGCCAGCACGGAGATGAGGGCTTTCCTGGTTTCAAGGCTTGGTGGAGCAAATGTCGGCACGCCTGACATGTCCGTACTGCCCGTTCCCAGAATACCTGGAATGGTCAACGATCCCATGACCCTCTTGTCACCTGAGGCCCCAAGAGCAGACTTCTTCGCCTGTTCTTCCACAGCCTTGCCTGGCTCAGTCCAGAGCAACTGGACTTCATTCCACGCTGGTGGCCGTGGTCTGCGCAACCATGGCTCCACGTCTGACGCCTCGGCTGCTAGCCAGCGTCCGTGGTCCTCCACCTCATCCTCATCATGCAAGTCCTCGAAATGAAGCAAGATGCCCTGGTCCATCTCCAGATCCTCATAGACGCTGACAACAAGCAAGCTGCGAAGAGAAGTCTTGACGATGACGTGAAATTCAAAGACGACAACCTCATCTAGCGCAGCTGCCACACGTCCCAAAAGTTTCTCCTTTGTTGTGCCGTTGACGAAGTAGATGGCATACGAAAGTATTCCTGTGGGATTTGGCGCGGGTGTGATTCTGATGCCACCCTTGACTTGATTGAGGACAGGATCCTCATCTCCGGTGAAGGTGGCATTAATGGGCACGCTCCTCACAATGTCCACAAGGGGCACTGACTCAGCCTGACCCTCGCCATTCCCGTTGCCCGGTATAACAACGACTTGTGTGGCTTCAGACGGAAGTGGAGTATTCTCAACCGGCACCTGCATCACGGCGGAGCAGTTCTCTGTCCCGGGTAAGGTCCACTGAAACCCGTTGACAGCTTGACCCTGAGCATTTGCGAGGAACACCTTGTAGAAGGTGATGCTGCCCTTGCAACTCAGCGGTGGCATGAACTGGATTTGTCCCTCAATGACATGCTGCTGCACGTCAGTGTCAACGAAGCGCAACTGCCGTGGCCTCAATGCCGGCGATGGTGGCATAGTTGATGCGTCGAAGTCCGAGAGTTCTCCCTCCGATGCGTTTACACCCTCCGTGTCGGCGTAGGCAGAGACCACCTTGACATGCCAGCTTGGTGGCTTCACAGCCGGCAAAGCATAGCTTGCCATAGAGCCAGTCTGGGTCAACTCCAGTGTCCAGCCTTTCTCGACCTCTGACCGATCACTGGACCATGAGATCCTCTGCGGACCTTTCTCCAAGTCGAAGCGCATGGGCAGCACCAGCCTTGTTCCCGACAACTGCTGGCCACCAATCTCCAAGTAGTCATAGTACTTTTCCGTCCGGAAGCTCGTCAGCCAGACCGTCGCGGGACCACTGAAGCTGATGACGGCCATCTCATTGTTGGTGTAGGCGCCGCGGCGGAAGCTGTAGACATCTCCGGTAGTGTTGGATTCAAGAAGAGAACAATCTCCTTCGCAGGAGGGGGTTTTGAATCCAGACGCAGGAACTTTTCCCAGAAAGGATTGCGCTTCATCCTTCCAGTACAGGTTGTAGTGCGTGAGAGTGCTTTCTGATTGCGCCCGCTTGAACTGAACTTGCCCTGCGACGTATCCCACTCGTCCATCCTCGTCACCACCCCAAATGACTTCACCAGGTCCATACTTGGGAACGCCGTAGTCCTTGATGTCCACAACAGCCGCCTTTGAAGGTCCCGCTTTTGCACTCCTGTTTGCTGCCACAACTGCAAGTCCCGTGACATACTTGGGTATTGTCAAGTTGCTGAGCGAGATTTGAAGATCTGCCGCACCGGATGCATTCGCCCTCCCAACTTGCTCCATCAGAAAGCCTGCAACAGAAATGAAGTGCAGGCTGTAGTACTCAACGTCACTCTCGTCTGCAGCTGCTGCAACATGAGCGACTCCACCTATTCGTCCAACTTCAGGATCCGCATCTGTAAAGGTAAGACCTTGAGGCCGATTCACGGGTGGATAGAGTGCATCGTATGAGGCAGCTAGCATCAGAGCACGTCGCGCATTGATGCGACCTTCCGTGAGACTGCTGTTATGGAGCGCATCCACTCTCGTCGCAGACTCCAGCAAAATGCGCTTCACCTGAGGCATCGTCAACTGAGGACGGTGCATCCAGATCAAGGCGGCAAGGCCACTCACATGAGGAGTGGCCATTGATGTTCCACTTAGGGAGGCATACTTGTTGTTGGGAACCGTCGAGTAAATGGCGCTGCCTGGAGCGGCTACATCCACAGTCGTCTTTCCATAGCATGAAAAAGAAGACAGAGACCCTGTCTTTGTTGTGGATGCTACGGAAACAATATTTGCTGTCGGATAATTGGAAGGGTAATGAGGAAACTCATCGTTGTCAGACCCTTCATTGCCGGCAGCCGCAATGAACAGCATGCCGGCTTGCTCGGCCCGCTCGATGGCCACCTTGAATCGGCACGGAAAACGCATAAAAAGCCAACACGCACACGCACTTACACATGACAGGCCGTCCAGCTTAGGGGGCTCAGAAACTGGGCAGCAGACCCGCATTGCCGAGGAGGATCCACCACCTCCCCAAGAGTTGCTGGAGAGCTTCGCGCCCATGGCTACCGCGTAGTTCAGGCACTTGATGGCATCGGAGGTGCGTCCACCACCAGAGGCCGATAGGAATTTCATGGCCATCAGCCGGACACCCTGCCAAGCCACTCCGGCAACTCCGATGGAGTTGTTCCCGTTGCCTGCGAGCATGAGTGATTCCACTATTCAACTGCCTTTCAATCCCCGCGCCGCTAAGCTTCCACGAAGGGATTTGCAAGAGGGTCTTCGTAGTCGAAATTCAACTCCAGAATCAGAAGCACACATAAATAACGGATATATAGATGGCCCTCTTGACTTGACAGGAAGTCTACGTCCTAGGTTTCATGATGCTTTCTCAAGGAAGTGCATGACCCTCCTACCCTCATTCTAGAATGCCAACCCCCCCCCCCCATTCCTTTTCCTGTTCACAAGAAAGCCCAAGTTTCCAACCTAAGTCCTTAGGGCTAGTCACCACCCCACACACTGGAGTGTTCTTTGTTTTCTGAAGTTCGCATTGCCACGTGTCGTCGTCCCTGAGTTGTTCTAATTGCTGACCAAGATGTACACACAGTTGATCAGACTGTGTTTCCACCCTCAAGCATAGCTTTGTTAGGCAGCGTTTGCTTGAAGGCCACTGCCCCCCTGCATGATGCAACAATTCTCCCTCGTGCAGTTCGGGAGTGGCCACACACACACATTTTTCAAGATCCAGCTTTTGTTGGCTTACGCTTGCGAATCAACAGCTCTTGTGCAGCCAACATCTCCTTGTAGAGCGTTCGGCCAGCACTTCCTTCCTTCCTTCCGCCCTTCCGTCCGAGGTGTACAATCTTTTTCAATAATCTATTTATGTGTTCTCTGCGGGTTCAATGGGCAAGAATGCAATGGCACTTCGTCCATCTTATTTTAATCTGAAGCTCCGACTTTCTATGAAACTTCCGCCTATCGTTGTAGCTTCTGGCCACTTCTGGCCCTGCAGCGGCAGCAGAGGAAAGAATCAGCTTTTGTCTCATTTGCGAGTGCAAGGAATGCAAGGAATTGAAAATCCGTCTGAGCCATACAGGCAACTGGAGCGCCAGGTCTCGGAACCGACTGGCAGTCGCAATAAACATAAGAAGCTGCTCCTAAAACAAGACTTAGGTCACAGGACTTAGGGAGCACTCACCCTGCTTTATGTAGGATCTTGCATTGTAACGCGTTAGCAATTGGTGGCACCAGGAGTCCCAGCCATTCAAGCATCTCCCAGAGGTGCAGTCCTCTTCAGGTTCATGTCAGCCCCTGGACAACTTGAGGAGATATTCTGAAGTACTACCTCCACCTACCGCACCTGTCCGACGGCATGTGGCCAAACCCATTTAACCTCCCTGCAGCTGCCCAGCTTCCCCAACAGCCCCCTGCATCACCCAGTGATGCAAGCACGAGAGATTCCCCAAACAATTCAAACGACATTGATCGACGAAAGAGATGCACGTTATGAGCGTGTTGTTGCGCATGTTCAAACAACGCAAACACATGCAACCAATCAATCAATCGGAAAGACAAACATTGAGGTTTGTGTCAAACAGTTAGAGCAGGAATACAAGTCTCAGATGCAGGCTACACTGCCAAACAGAATACAACATGATACAAACATGCGCCCTACCAGCTGCGAGCTTGTGCCTGCGATGGTACCCGCGCAGTGCGTCCCGTGCATCTGATCATCCATAGGATCCCCATCATTGTTGGCAAAGTCTGCGCCGTGGATGTCATCCACAATTCCATTGCCATCATCGTCAATACCATTGTCTGGGATCTCATTGGGGTTTATCCACATTTGATCCTTGAGGTCGGGATGCGTATAGTCGATGCCAGTATCGATGACTGCAACCACAAGCCCTTCCGGGGGTGGTTCGTGAGCCAATTTCCAAGCCTCTGCGGCATCAATGTCCCGGTCACCGTAGTGATGCAATCCCCAAAGTCTCTCCAAGGACTTGTCATTTGGAATTACCGTGTCCTTGCCATGAGTGAAAGTGACATTGAACTTTTCCCATTCATCAATCTCATCTCTGTCGGCCGAGAAAACACCCCATGCAGGATCTTCTGCAGAAACGTACTTGTCAGCGTGCTTGCTTCGGAGTGAAAGCGTGCCATCTTTGTTGTAGATGAATTTGAACTTTTCGAAGTCGTCTGCCTTCGGATGTCCACGGTGCCACGATGCCAGCCTACCAGACGGAGTTGCGACTACATAAGTTCCGTGCTGGGTCTTCAAAGAATTGTAACCGTCCTCGTGAGGCACCACGAAGAAGTGCGTATCTGCATGAATCTTGTCAGGATAGAAGCCGACCCCACCCCAACGCATAGCAGCCATAAAGCCACCGTGCCAGCTCTGCAAAGAAATGGTGCTGAGTCCATGCTCGCGGTGTCTCGGCAAAGGAGCAGCATCGCGATCCTCGCAGCATCCCAAGCGCAGTCCATCTGGAGTTGGGCAGCACAGGCCGCGAAGACCCATGGCGGAACATTGAGGATTGGCAGAACAGAGACGCTCTGGACGCTTCTCTTCCACATCCAAGTGGAGCCAGGTGTCTGGGACTGCGACTTCGACACCGTCTTGCGCTTGGAGGATCTCCATCATGTCATCCTCCTCCACGTCTGAGTTGCATGCGACGACAGCCATGTCTAGGCTGGGCAGCACTTCTGCTCTACGAACCCCGGAGAGATGCTCGAGCTGTTTCACACCTCAGTTTTTAGCCATGGGCCTTATGGGCAAACGGAAAAACCCGACCTAGAACTCCAAGTGCAGCGCAACTTCGCGCAACTTCTCACGCAACTTCACGCAACTGTGCTGGAGCGGGCCACTCAGGTCCGGACGATCATGTAGGGGGACAGCTGAACCAGACTCATAGCGGAGGATGATCCGAGACTCGTGGGTCTCTTTCACACCTGATTCCACGAGGGCCTGCGCCAGGCCTTTTCCGTAAAGAATCTGGAGGAACAGGAAAAGTGATCCCATCGTCCCCATTGCTCCGGCTGCTACACTCTAGCACGGGGACTCTCGCAGCCAGTATGCTACTATCCGTGCACGACATGCCTCACGACCATCACTTGAACAAGAGGAACTAGAACAAGCTCGAAGCAACCATAAGCCGAGGCCTCCACATGGCAGGGCGTGGCCCCGACCCCGTCTTCGATTGCTTTGGGCAGTCTGTACATAAGTCTGCAATGTCTGCAATGTCTGCAGTCATTGCAGCACCGAGTGGGATCTGGAAAGCACTCGGACCAGCAATTGAAGTTCAGAGCTACGGCCGCGGCGGGAAACAAGCAGCACGAGGCATGAGATGCATGCTCGTGAAGTCTTGAAAGAGTGCGCACACGCACTACATCACACTACCACGCCTGCCTGCAGGTTTGTGGTACCGCTGCTCAGAGCTGTCAGTTCCTGGGGGTTGGGAGTTTGAATCTGCTTTGGCTGGAGACCGCGATGTGCCCCAAGAAGCCTTTGCGATCTCGGCTTGAGCAGCCCTGTACTGGCCATGTGCCTCACCAAGAGTGCGCTGCTGAAGCAGCGATGCGCAACAAGCTACTGTGTAACGAAGTGGAGGGCGCACCTGCTGAACGCGACCAAAGTCGACATCCAGTTCCGAATCGAGCTTTGCACCTGCCTGGCAGGACTAGTTGCCAAAGTACGTAGCTGACAGCATACCCATGCACGAGCGCTATCACTGCTCTGCATGGTTGCGATCCTCCGCTGCCACTTTTGCCAGCTGCGGCTGCAGGACCTGTTCTACCTGTCAAGAAAAATCGCATGAAACTTCGCACGAAAAATGATGAATGGCGCATATGCTCATGGCCTCCGAGCAAAGCAAGGCACATACAACGCACAAAACAGTTACTCGTGGCTCAACTTGCTTTAAATCGAGGTCGTCGCAGTCGTTGAAGTGCCATCCGTCGTATCTCGACTCGTCACCAAATGCTCCTACCAGTTGGCTGGGAAATCTTCTTCGCAAACATTCGCGAGGACAATACGTGTGAGGCCTCCTTTACCGATGTTGAATCCGGCGCCGGCTCATCTATCTCCTCCAAAAAAAACTTCAGCTCTCAGTACATCTCTCAAGTTGGAACATGTGGCGGCCTAGAGGGCCAAGAGGGCCCAGAGGGTCCAGCAAGGAGGGGGAAGAGGCCTGAGAGGGCCTGGAGGGCATAGGTGCCATGGACTTTTACGTCTTGCGTGGGAAACCTTGGGCTTGAACAAAAAGAACAAAATCACACTCGTGATAAGCCAGATACGTTTAAACTGCATTTAAATCTGGTATACTTTCAACCAACCTGCTTCGGAAACGACAATGCGAATCACACCATTCTGGATTTGTTGTGAAAACTTGGTTTTGAAAAGTTTCAAGCGTTTCAATACAAGCGTGATAAGCTTTCGTTTATCATCAGGTTTAGCCCTCAAAAATGTTTCCGGACGCACCAACCATTGCTTTATGAACTTACCTTTAAACTAAAAAATGACTTCAAAGAGCTTGGTTGCAAGAAGCTCGGAAACGCTTGACTTTATACACCTACAGCACGTATAAAACGGTTCTACATTGCTAAAGAACGAACTTTCCTTCAATGATGGCTGATTCTGCACGCTTTTGTGTTGATTAGTACGAGTACATGAAAGAAACCAATTCCAACCGGGTACAAAGAGGTCCTACATGCAGAGGGCCTAGGCGAAAAACCTAATCACCACCTAAGCGTCGCTTTCAATTGAGCCTTGCACACGACACACTGCTGGTCGCCTCCGAGATCGAGCTCGAAGTCGACGTGCCCGCGTCAACATCAGTCTCCTCCGCCAGGTCCTCCTGCAGCTTCAGCATGAGCGCAAGTTGGCACAGTTCATGCGTCTTGTGGATCTTTGTCACTGAGCCTCAACATCATGCAACATCTGAAGTCTCCGGGGTACACCAAGGGAGTCAACATCTCTAACAATGGCGAACGGTCCCGAAACTTGTGTGAAGCGCGATGTCTCATGCAAGCCGCATGCAAGTTGCAATGCTTGAGGCCACAGGCCATCGAATGTCGCACAACACACCAAGTTGTCACAGTTTTGGGAAGCTTGAAGTAAAACTATTGAGATTACCGGGCAACAATGGCGAAAGGTCCCGATCCTTGTGTGAGATGTTTCATGAGAGCCGCATGCAAGTTGAACGCTTCCCACATACTTAATGCTTGAATCCACAACGAAACCGTGACAGCCCGAAACCCCTAGAAGCGGACGAGACCGTGGCAGCCCAAAACCCCTAGAAGCGGACGAGACCGTGACAGCCCAAAACCCCTCGAAGCGCACGAGGCCGTGACAGCCCAAAACCTATAGAAGCGGACGAGACCGTGACAGCCCAAAACCCCTAAAAGCGCACGAGACCGTGACAGCCCAAAACCCCTAGAAGCGGACGAGACCGTGACAGCCCCAAACCCCTCGAAGCGCACGAGACCGTGACAGCCCAAAACCCCTAGAAGCGGACGAGACCGTGACAGCCCAAAACCCCTAGAAGCGGACGAGACCGTGACAGCCCAAAACCCCTAGAAGCGGACGAGACCGTGACAGCCCAAAACCCCTAGAAGCGCACGAGACCGTGACAGCCCAAAACCCCTAGAAGCGCACGAGACCGTGACAGCCCAAAACCCCTAGAAGCGGACGAGACCGTGACAGCCCAAAACCCCTAGAAGCGCACGAGACCGTGACAGCCCAAAACCCCTAGAAGCGGACGAGACCGTGACAGCCCAAAACCCCTAGAAGCGGACGAGACCGTGACAGCCCAAAACCCCTAGAAGCGGGCGAGACCGTGACAGCCCAAAACCCCTAGAAGCGGACGAGACCGTGACAGCCCCAAACCCCTAGAAGCGGACGAGGCCATGACAGATGTGACAGCCCAAAACCCCTAGAAGCGGACGAGGCCGTGACAGCCCAAAACCCCTAGAAGCGGACGAGGCCATGACAGATGTGACAGCCCAAAACCCCTAGAAGCGGACGAGGCCGTGACAGCCCAAAACCCCTAGAAGCGGACGAGGCCATGACAGCCCAAAAACTGGCAACGCCCGCCAGGGCGGAAGCCACTTGCTTTAGCAATGGGCCGGGCATGCAGGGCCGCCATCATGGGCGGCCTTGCGGGGCCCTTCCAGACCGGGCCGGATCGGGGCGGGGACGCGAGAGCACCTTCACTTGCAAAGCAGGAAACGCCGCCCATACCGATGATTTTGAGCCTTTTTTCGACCGAAAAAGGGTGTTTCTGGGGGCCCCGGCGGGAATCATGAGCATCAGCGGCATCGCTATTTCGGGAAGAGGGGCTCCCAATCCCGCCCAGGGGCAGCGTTTTGTGGATTTTCCTTGCGAGGGGTGCCGATGGCCGCAAGGAGCCCAATGATGCTCATGATGCTGGGGGGGGGGGAGGGCCCGGGGGGCTTATAAAGGGCGAGGAACGGAGCCAATGATGCTCGTGATGCCTCCGTCGGAGGGCTCGTGCAGCTTGTCTCCGGCGAGCCCCGCGCGCGTGTGCGGTTTGGATGGCCATGCCGGCAGGCGCAGGCGCGCGCGCGCGCGCCCCCGCTTGCATGCCTCTGCCTCCTCGGGGCGTTGCCCGTCCCTGGGCGCAGCCTAAAATGGGATAGCCCCGGACACCCCCGCAAAAGTCCCCCAAAAGGGAGCGCATCATGAGCATCAACGGGTTGAGTGCCGGAGCCCCAAGCGCATCAGGAGCATCAGCGGCCCCAGTCCGGGATGCCGGGCGCGCATCATGAGCATCAGCGGCGCCGGCCTTGGATGAAACGGCGGCCCACGCCTGCTTTCCCTCTGTCGCCAAACCCGTGCGCTCCGACTATATGAAAAGTCTACAGCTGACCCACCCCATCGGGATGCACGCCGGGCGGAGGCCGGGCGGAGGAGGGCGCGCGCGCGCGCGTCCCTTCCCGGTTTGCAGAACAACTCTCCTCGAGCTTCTGCCTGCGCTGCCCGCCCATGGGCGCAGCCCCTTAAAATATCATACGCTTAAGACATCATCTGAGCTTTATAGGCTTGTGTTTTGTGTGCCCCTGTGCCCCCAAGATGTTGAGCAAGCTCTTTCCAAGAACCTTAGGTGGCATTGGATGGTTTTCTGGCGGGAGGTCTCCTTTGCCGATGTTGATTCCGTCGCCGGCTCGTCTAGCTCCTGCAACAGCTCACAGAAATATCTCCAGGATGTTTGCACACACGACACACTGCTGGTCGCCTCCGAGATCGAGCTCGAAGTCGACGTGCCCGCGTCAACATCAGTCTCCTCCGCCAGGTCCTCCTGCAGCTTCAGCGTGAGCGCAAGTTGGCACAGTTCATGCGTCTTGTGGATCTTTGTCACTGAGCCTCAACATCATGCAACATCTGAAGTCTCCGGGGTACACCAAGGGAGTCAACATCTCTAACAATGGCGAACGGTCCCGAAACTTGTGTGAAGCGCGATGTCTCATGCAAGCCGCATGCAAGTTGCAATGCTTGAGGCCACAGGCCATCGAATGTCGCACAACACACCAAGTTGTCACAGTTTTGGGAAGCTTGAAGTAAAACTATTGAGATTACTGGGCTTCTGTCATCAGTTGAATAGAGTTTGCCTTAATTTGCAAACATTTCAAGTTTCCAGGGTTCCGGAACCAAGCCTTTGGTACATGTTGTGAGTTTACTCCACGCCAACTCACATCATGTCAGCGAGACGACCGATACGAAAGCATCACCACCGGCCGTTGTCATCTTCGTTCTCTTCGTCTCCACCATCACACACAGCAACAATGTCATCCTCTGATCTGCATCGCTATATGTTACGTTCGCTAGGCCCTTGCACGTCTCATGTTGTTCACGGGGGCTTTATCGATGTGCTCTTTTCGGCTGCTAAATCATAAGGAAGCTTCACGAAACGCATTTTCAGGTGCACGTATGTATGTATGTACGCTTATATCCGCCGACCCCAGCCGCAGCGGGGCGGCGTCAGTGAAGACGCATAGTGTCCTCTCCACCCCTTGCCGTGTCCCCTCACCCCTTACGGTCTCCCCTCACCCTCAAGCCCGATCCAGCGCCCTGCCCCCTGCCCAAACCGCAAGCCCTACCCCCAACCCCGTACCTGAAAATGCGGTGTTTTAGGGGACCTCACCCACAACCCCTTACCCGGAATGAGGGGCTCCAGTGCATGCCCCCTTACCTGAAAATGAAGTGCCCCCCGCCGCTTCCCTCCCCACCCCCCCGACCCCCCACCCACCCACCCACACCTACCCACCGCCTCAAAGTCTTGTGTTGCGGGGTGGGCGGCACTGGCGGCAGCCAATAAATCCGGCAACGCCCGCCAGGGCGGAAGCCCTTGCTTTAGCTATGGGCCGGGCATGCAGGGCCGCCATCATGGGCGGCCTCCCGGGGCCCTTCCAGACCGGGCCGGATCGGGGCGGGGACGCGTCACTTGCAAAGCAGGAAACGCCGCCCATACCGATGATTTTGAGCCTTTTTTCGACCGCTGGGGGCCCCGGCGGGAATCATGAGCATCAGCGGCATCGCTATTTCGGGAAGAGGGGCTCCAAATCCCGCCTCGGCAGGGGCAGCGTTTTTGTGGATTTTCCTTGCGAGGGGTGCCGATGGCCGCAAGGAGGAGAAGCGGGAGCCCAATGATGCTCATGATGCGGGAGGGCCCGGGGGGCTTATAAAGGGCGAGGAACGGAGCCAATGATGCTCGTGATGCCTCCGTCGGAGGGCTCGCGCGCGCGTGCCGTTTGGATGGCCTTGCCGGCAGGCGCAGGCGCGCGCGCTCGCGCGGCCACGCTTGCATGCCTCTGCCTCCTCGGGGGGTTGCCCGTCCCTCGGCGCAGCCTAAAATGGGATAGCCCCGGACACCCCCGCAAAAGTCCCCCAGAAGGGAGCGCATCATGAGCATCAACGGGTTGAGTGCCGGAGCCCCAAGCGCATCAGGAGCATCAGCGGCCCCAGTCCGGGATGCCGGGCGCGCATCATGAGCATCAGCGGCGCCGGCCTTGGATGAAACGGCGGCCCACGCCTGCTTTCCCTCTGTCGGCAAACCCGTGCGCTCCGACTATATGAAAAGTCTACAGCTGACCCACCCCATCGGGATGCACGCCGGGCGGAGGCCGGGCGGAGGAGGGCGCGCGCGCGCGCGCGCGTCCCTTCCCGGTTTGCAGAACAACTCTCCTCGAGCTTCTGCCTGCGCTGCCCGCCCATGGGCGCAGCCCCTTAAAATATCATACGCTTAAGACATCATCTGAGCTTTATAGGCTTGTGTTTTGTGTGCCCCTGTGCCCCCAAGATGTTGAGCAAGCTCTTTCCAAGAACCTTAGGTGGCATTGGATGGTTTTCTGGCGGGAGGTCTCCTTTGCCGATGTTGATTCCGTCGCCGGCTCGTCTAGCTCCTGCAACAGCTCACAGAAATATCTCCAGGATGTTTGCACACACGACACACTGCTGGTCGCCTCCGAGATCGAGCTCGAAGTCGACGTGCCCGCGTCAACATCAGTCTCCTCCGCCAGGTCCTCCTGCAGCTTCAGCGTGAGCGCAAGTTGGCACAGTTCATGCGTCTTGTGGATCTTTGTCACTGAGCCTCAACATCATGCAACATCTGAAGTCTCCGGGGTACACCAAGGGAGTCAACATCTCTAACAATGGCGAACGGTCCCGAAACTTGTGTGAAGCGCGATGTCTCATGCAAGCCGCATGCAAGTTGCAATGCTTGAGGCCACAGGCCATCGAATGTCGCACAACACACCAAGTTGTCACAGTTTTGGGAAGCTTGAAGTAAAACTATTGAGATTACTGGGCTTCTGTCATCAGTTGAATAGAGTTTGCCTTAATTTGCAAACATTTCAAGTTTCCAGGGTTCCGGAACCAAGCCTTTGGTACATGTTGTGAGTTTACTCCACGCCAACTCACATCATGTCAGCGAGACGACCGATACGAAAGCATCACCACCGGCCGTTGTCATCTTCGTTCTCTTCGTCTCCACCATCACACACAGCAACAATGTCATCCTCTGATCTGCATCGCTATATGTTACGTTCGCTAGGCCCTTGCACGTCTCATGTTGTTCACGGGGGCTTTATCGATGTGCTCTTTTCGGCTGCTAAATCATAAGGAAGCTTCACGAAGCGCTTTTTCAGGCGCACGTTTTTATGTATGTACGTTTATATATATATATACACACATGTATATAATATATGTATATATCATACGCTTAAGACATCATCTGAGCTTTATAGGCTTGTGTTTTGTGTGCCCCTGTGCCCCCAAGATGTTGAGCAAGCTCTTTCCAAGAACCTTAGGTGGCATTGGATGGTTTTCTGGCGGGAGGTCTCCTTTGCCGATGTTGATTCCGTCGCCGGCTCGTCTAGCTCCTGCAACAGCTCACAGAAATATCTCCAGGATGTTTGCACACACGACACACTGCTGGTCGCCTCCGAGATCGAGCTCGAAGTCGACGTGCCCGCGTCAACATCAGTCTCCTCCGCCAGGTCCTCCTGCAGCTTCAGCGTGAGCGCAAGTTGGCACAGTTCATGCGTCTTGTGGATCTTTGTCACTGAGCCTCAACATCATGCAACATCTGAAGTCTCCGGGGTACACCAAGGGAGTCAACATCTCTAACAATGGCGAACGGTCCCGAAACTTGTGTGAAGCGCGATGTCTCATGCAAGCCGCATGCAAGTTGAACACAATTTCCACATACATAATGCTTGAGGCCACATGCCACCGAATCTCACCTGCCTAGAGAGTCTCAGAAACCTAGGGAGGTCTCCTTTGCCGATGTTGATTCCGTAGCCGGCTCGTCTAGCTCCTGCAACAGCTCCAGCTCTCGGAAATATCCCAGATTCACCACCCACATGTACCAGTAGGACACTAGGCTTCTCTCAGGCTGCTAGCATTTCCGAGATGTGACACGTCTGATCAGCACACAATGCCCAAACTCAAAGCTGGAAGCTTCACGGTAACATGGGCATTGGCCTGCCTCGGAGGTTTCTACATGCGCCTCCTGCGCTGCGATGCAACCGCGACAAATAATTCTGAAGAGCCGGACATCCAAAGCTACGCAGTGCAGGAAGGGCTCAACCGACTGAACTGGCAGCATCACCCCCATTGGCATTTCACCACTGCGTGGCCATGTGTCCGCTACATGATGCTGACTTGACACGCAATCGACAGGAGCTACTGCACGCACCCTCACACACATCACATGTCGTGATAAAGACTACTGCAGATGCCCTGCTGCAATGTACTGCACATGTGTCAACCCCGGGCAGAACGGAAGAACTGCGGCACATGTGTTGTTTCTTGCCCAAGGCCTCTGCGGTGAGTCTTGCTTTCTCTTTCTCAAGCAGAGCCTCCTGGGGGCGAACGGTATAGGAACATCATGAACAGACGACCACTGGGCACAGACATTGCGACTGCCTGATTCATGATGTTTTCTCGTTCTCGCAGAAGAAGTTGCGTCTGTGCCGGAGCCAGACGCCCGAACAACAGGATTGTGGCTACACCCAAGCAGAATCGGCACAAAAATGCTGCTGTCACCTTCAATAGTGCGCGTTGGCGCTTCTTGTCCTGCAAAGTCTCTGAAATGAATTATTTGGAAACGCGAGGTTCCAGAGCATCGTCACACAGTCATGCTCAGTCACGGGTCCCTGTCTCTTTCGGCGCTCCTTGCATGGAGCATGTGCGTTGCTTTATCTTTGAGCAAACTGCCCTTCTTCGTCCTGCCTGTCTGCAGGTGGACTAAGGCCTCTCTCCATCAAAGAGTCCTTACCTTCCGGGCGTTCTCTTTGAGCTCTCCCAATTTGGACCACAACATCCCAACATGTCCCAAGTTTGACAACTCGCTGCCTTGCTCGGAAAACCATCTGTGTGTCTGCCGCGTGCCCGGTTTGCTCAGCTCATTCCTCGACAGATCACTTTGTCAAGGTGTGTCAGGTGGTCAAACAAAGCATGTTCAAGCTGGCAGCTGTCCTCAAAGTCCCCCGGATCTCATGCTCCGCCTGCTCTGTAAGCAAAAGCTGTCCGAGCCGTGGATTCTTGATTGTGTCTTTTTCTTGCAGGCGGAATCGCGGCGCTTGGGTTGTCAAACGGAGTGATTACAAACAATGGTATAAAGACATGAACAGCTTGCAAAATGCTCTCGAGGTGATTCAGCGCTACAGAGCTCCAACTTACAGCACGGGCTCGTGTCCGACCACTCTTGAAATGTATGCAAGAATTCAAACCGCATTTCCACATATCAGGATGTTCTACAGCCCCAGATGTCGTAAATACCTGCATTTCCTAGTGCTTGGCAGCCCCAATTACAAAACAATACAGAATTCCCCCTATTGCAGATTACTGCATTTGGCGGTGGTTCAAGAATCCTTATATGGGAAATTGCCAACTTTTGCAAACGGGTTTCTTTGCGTGCCTTCTTTCACGGTCGAGACGGTTGATACGGGTTTGAGGTGTAGTTCACCTTGCTGCTATGGTCGGTCTTTGGCTACTGATGCCAGAAATAACTAAGTTTCTGCGCAGCCTGAGTACGGCATTCGGTGAAGAGTCGTGCACGGTGCTGCCATGTGTTGCCTGTTCACGCGGGCTACTGCCTGGACGAAAGCCCTGAACTTGCGTGAGTGCTTTGGCAACAGCACAGCTTCCTCCAAGAAATTGCCACGCGGCAACGGTTTTGGTTTAGAGGGTTGTCAAGGTAGGCTTGACGACTGCGGAGTGGCCCGAGGCCTTCATGTGAGAATCAACAGAGTTGCACTTGGCTCATCCGGGCTACTTGGTTGGTTACATGAGTACATGAGCGGCATCGTCGCAGCCTCCTACCAATCCTTACCAGCACCTGGCCACCTCAAAGCCAGCAGCGAATGGAGGTGATTTCTTCATGCGGCTTGTCAGCGATTTTTCGCGGAAGAGTGCTCTTCCTTTCAAGCCTTCTGCGCAACGGACAATTGACCGGACAGGACTAAACAGTTTTGGTTTGCGCATGCCATTCGCCAGGAAACCTCAGCATTACAACAGGACAACAAGACAGGTTTGGGACCGAGTCGGGAACGACCTGCACAAAGCCTGTGCAGCTGCTCTGCGAGACTAATCGTGTGGTCACGTCTTGGCTCCAAAGGCCCGTAGCAGCTCGCAGCTGTCCACAGCTGAGGATCGGACTTGGCTCGGGCGCGCCGCGAATCCTATGCAGCCCAGTTCACGGCAATGCTCCGGAAACGAGCGTGGCCAGGTCATCAAATCTCGCCCGCATGCTTTGATGAGCAACACATAGCATTCGTGCAGTAGCAATGATGAGTTCAACAACCAAGCAAAACTGTGTCTAGGCATGTGCAGCAAGAACTGCGTTCTGAAAATGCGGTCCTCCTTCGAAGAGCCAGAACAGCAAAGCCACGCAGCCCCACACCTGGCTTTCTGCCAATGCAAGCCTGCGGCACAGTGCAAATGCCGGGCCACTCGCCTGCTTCATCTGAGGAACATGAACATGCGGACCTTCAACCACTCCCATGTCTCCATGGTGACCGAACGGGCCAAAGTGATATCGACTGAAACTTAGGACCGCGACACTCAGTTCTGCTCTGGATCTTCTCCGTCCAAAGGCCACCAGTGCATTTGACAGAACCTCAGCGTTCCAACTCTCAGGAAAAAACACAATCCCTGGCCCGGCCTATCCCGCATCCTCCCAAGACGCTCTGGGCTTCTGGCAACAGAAATTGCCCAGGGGAGGGCCCAGCTGGTTTTGAGACAGAAGCAATGTGATGCCAATTGCACAATTTGTCCCGTCGGTGCTGCTAGAAACAAGCCCATTCTGACCATGCACGTTGCCCGGCCAGAGCTGGCTGCACATGTTATGTTGGCCAAGTCGCCTGTCATCGCTGTTAACACTGTTGCCATGCTAGATCCTGGACTATGTCCGCGCGCCCTGCATTGAAAAGACGCGTTAACCTGAACTGCAGAGTCGAACTTCCCGCCAGAAGCTTAACCTGAAACACCGTACAGTATGTTTCCCCTAGCTTCACGCTACCCGCTTGGCCTTGCACCACCAAGCCCTTAGCATCCATTGCAAGGGCTTTCTGAATGAATACAAGGAGATACATAGGCTACACACCTGAGCCATTCCGGACAATTTGACTATTTTCGCTGCAAGGCGTGCGCTGCTCCTGCGAGGAACGGACGACCCTGCTGGTAGGGTTCCATACCGCACGGCCAAAGCTGGCACGGGTGACCACCACCCACATCCCATCACCAAAGCTCCATCTGCACATCTTCCTGAGCACTGGTGCATGCTCACACTCTGCAGACACCTGCACATGCACAGACTCTGATACGAGGGAGCGGAGTTCGGAGGATCCTGGGTCACCTGGCCGTGGGCTTGTCTTTGAAGCAGGCCCGGAGCATGGCGGGGAAAACTACCTTCGCACAGCTCGGAAAGAAGAACGAAGAGGAACCAAGGGGAAAGCAGATGATCTGCACCAGCCTGGGGACCCTTTGCCCAGCCCAAAAAGCAGCCACCGAGTTCAGTGAGCTCCTGACGCTTGTGGACTCGGACTCGGGGATACACTTATGGCAAATCGCAGCAACGCCCCCAAGCCGATGCAGGCACTCAAGTTGTCAAGGCTCAAGCTGCCGAAGCTCTAAGGGATGCTGAGGGCATCTGAGGGCTCTGCTCCGGTGTGGACGACAGCTTTGCCAGGACCCGTACGCTTTGCCACAATGTCAAAACGAACCTTCAAAAAACAACATGCCCCTGTGCTCTCCGTGTACTCGCTGATACCCCGGGGTCGCGACTACCACAGGAAGTTGATGAGTCTGAGCCTGAAGCCACTGGATCCACCTCAAGGCAATCCACGTTCCAATCTTGGGGGAAGGGGGGCCAAGATGGGTTGGATCCTGACGCCACTCCATTCAAGCACTTTCAATCATTGGAACTGAAACATTGCAATACATGTTGGGTTAGTCTAAATTTCCCGCTCCATCATGAGACTAGGGAACTCCTGAACCCTATACCTCTAGCCCCAAGCCATCATGCACTCAGGGTTTTGGGACTGCAAAGGCCGCAGCATGTACCAGAGAAGTATGACAATCACCCAAACCCATGTAGTTGGAATACGAGCGGCATCACGCCTATAAGGTTTCAATGTGGCTGCCAAATGGGGGGAAAGCGGGAGACGTCGCCCATTCAAGCGCGAATGCCACATTCACTGGCATTGGCAGCACAGACTCGTTGTCATTGCTTTCATGCATGACGGCCGAAGCAGGTGGACGAAGACACGTTGTTGCAAACGCCCATTCAAATTGACCCGGCATGCATATATATATATATATATATATATATATATATATATATATATATATATATATATATATATATATATATATATATAGATATATATATATATATAATGTAGATATATATGGTCAAAATGACCCGGCATGCATATATGTATGTATATATATATATTTATTTATTTATTTGTTTATAGTTATAGCTATATTTATATTTATATTATATATATTTATATAGATATAAATATAAATATTTATATTTGTATTTATATTTATTTTTATTTGTTTATATTTATTTATATTTATATATTTATATGCATATATTTATATTTATCTTTATCTTTATATTTACATTTATTTTTGTTTATTTACACACACACACACACACACACACACACACACAGAGTCGTCAGAATGGATGCTCTTCAAGGCAGGCCAGCTTTTTCGAAACGAGTACGATTTCTTCATCAGCCCTCGAACAGTGTGAATGAGAACTACAGATAAAGGACCCACAGTATGATGCCACGTGCGTTCCATGTTTGGTGAGGCGCATCGTTTCTCACAACTCGAAGCAACTGGCGAGGATGTCAGAAGGTCAGAAAGCCGAGGCCGTCACCTGGCGATCAGAGCCTCAGCCTGACGCTCGGCATCTGCCAGAGCAGCATCATCGTTTTGGAAGCACTTGCCAAGGCAACCCAGGCGATCGTACCTCTCGATTCTGATTGAAGGTCATCACTCGGGTCTTCTGTTTTGGCACGCTTGACACTGTGAAAGTCAGGATGAATCAGCAGAAGGCTTCTCAACCAAGTCAGGCCTGTCAAAATTTCGAAAGGAGTTGTCTTCCTTGGACTTGAAGACCTCATGTGGACTCACGCACAAGTGAACCTTCGTTTGTTCTCTCATGTTTGGTACCTTAGGCAGACACTGTATAAATAATTTGCTTTGGTTTCCAGGACTGTGGGTCCTGATAGTTCGCCTGCGCAGCGCGTTGGACGTGAGAAGTCTGACAACTGACAAGTACTGCCACTGGAGCGCCTCAACAACGAAGTGTCGCATTTCAACGTCAAAATCGAGCCACTCCTCACAGCACTGAGCCCGGGCCCAGCAGCATTCGCTCGCGTAAAGACACCGCAGCTCCATACACCCATATGACCCATATGCTTTCCTGAACGAAGATTTGGTCACACAGGTTTCCAGGCTGCTCACTCAGCTCGCAAAGTGCGAGCTCAAGCTCCTGAACAAGTTCACTCAAGGTTGCGAAAGGAATGAATGAGATGCAAGAAGTCACGATTCCAGCCTCTTTATTCTTCCAGGCAGTCACATCCATGGCTTCCCAGCTCCATCCTAACTTGGCGACCTTGGGAACTTGATCATTCCCATCGCCAGTTGCTGGGCCGGCCAAGGATCTAAGCCGTGAGCCCCTTTAACAACGCGCTTCGCCTGCCAAGGCCCAAGGCAGCGGCAGAGAACAGGTAAACCTAAGGGTGTCAAATCTGTCCATCTGTCAAGAAGAGGCCTTCGCGGGCTGAGCAAGCTGAGCATTCCAACTGTGGCGCGCCTGACATCCAAAGGATCATGTAGTATGTTGCTCTTTCGCCCGAACCTCGCTGGAATAGCCCCGATTGGCAAGCTGCAATCGTCGAGACATAAGAAGCAATCTCCAGTTGACGCAGTAAGGACGACGATACGGGAATGCATGCTGGTGGCAATTGTTTTGCATGCGAACAGAGAACACGCTTTTTTCTTCAGTGGAAGAGCAAAGAAGGTAAGAAAGGGGCAGCAAGAGTGCTACCCTAATCTGTCACCGAAGCACGCAAATGCCACGAACCCAACGTCACGGCCGCCTCGGCCAGGTTGTTCAATGCCTTCATCGCTTCTGAGGCTGCGGTCGCTGGATCCGTGGCGATCGCCTCTGTTGAAAAATATCCTAGATGTACTTTCCAAGCAAAAAGCACCCAACCTGAACGAGCCAGACGCATCAAGAGGTGTCAGCAGTAAGATGAAGCAGAAGCAAGATGGGCTTTTGTAACATGAGATGCCTGCCTGCCGTGCTACCATTGTGGTCAAGGGTACATGGAGAAGAGGATGCAGGCCTCAGCACCAGACTCATGGCCCGGTCGTGCACGCTACGAATTTGTGCGAACATGTTGAAGGCCCACAATGGCCCACACACATCTGGCTGGTCCACTCCTTTGATGCGAAGACCTGCCAATCAAAAAAACAGGCTGCCTTTTTGTTTCGGGTGTGAGGCGCGCTCTTGTTGTTTGCATGAGCATACCAGTTTTTTCTTGGGTGCAGGCCCGGGCAAGCTCACTGCCAGAATGCAGGGGTGCTGTGGTTTTGCTGCAGGATAGAGGACACGTTTCGCACGCTACAGGTGCAGGGAGTGGGCATGCTTTTTGCTCTGGGTGCGGGATGGTGCTGGGGGCGCGAGGGCGCAAAAGTGCTCGGGGCCTCTTCGTTTTGCTGCGCACACGGGTCAGGCCGCCCCCAAAAAGTACCAACAGCCCACAGCTAAGGAGCTCCTACAACAGTAACGTTTCGAAGGGTAGAACTTCATCCCTCATTCCAAACTCATTCCCCTCTGAGCTCGCCGAAGCATGTGCGGACATGTGAGGGACTCTCACAAATACGGCAAAAACACGGTCCGAACCTGGCCTTGTACAAGTGCGACTCATGGGGAAATCGCGTGGGGATGCCAGCAGCCTGATCTGAGCTCCACCAGCATGTGGGGAGGCATGCCCTGGGGGCAAAAGCATCCAAAGCCTCCATCTGGACCATCATGTCCAGCTGCTTGTCTTTCTGGACGTATGCAGGAGTTTCGTGCCCGTCCTTTGTGAAAGAACACATAGAACACCCCTGTCACAGCTCCAGGACAGCAACCGGCAACAATGATTTTTACAGTCCTGGAAGGCAATCGGCCACATAAAGTACAGCGCTCCAACGTGCTCTCCTTGGAGTGGACGGTTTGAGCGTTTGAGCCATTCTGCAAATCGTCTCACATGTCTGCATATGCCAGCGGCCTCGCAGGAGGGTCTTCACAAGCGGAGCGCAGACTTTCGACAACTCCTGCCAGACGATGCGCGTGTTGAAACGTCTCATAGCTTTGCGACTATTGCCGAGAACGTATGTTTGTAGCGGTCCTCCGAGTTCTGGAAGAAGACCGATATTATCTCGTAATTGGGCCCCAAAGCCCGGAAAACGCTGTCCTTCCCACATGGCAAGTGCATGCAGACGTGCGCAAAACACAACAAATGCAGCACCTCATGTATATAATGCGACGTGTCGGTATCACATGGAGTGGCCGGAGATGCTTCGAGGACCAGTGTATCCAATTGCGCCGTCTGTAAGCACATCTGCGTCGAAGAACAAGGGCCCACATCCAGCAGACCGAATTTTTTTTTCACGTCAGCTGACCTGTCGACCTTTGATCCACATGTACCAGGGGTTGCGGATAAACGCGAAGCTGTCCAGATTCTTCATGGTCTCAGGTTTTCGCTCCTACTTTTTCATCGGATGCTTCAAGGTGCTTCGAGTGGTTTTCTACAGAAGAGAGCTCTCGCGATCACGATTGCAACATATTGTAGCTTCCTTAGGTCCTTCGAACAGAACTTCAGGAACCAATCCTCGGCTTTCTCTCTCGCCTTCTCGCCTCAAACCGCTGATCTGTTTCAACGCCTTCCTCATTGATTCGCAGTATTATTCTTTAGTGAATTTGGCACTGCACTTGGCACTTTCCCCTGCTTGGCCTTGGCCTGTGAGTCTTTGAATGCACGGAGAAATTCAGCTTGTTAGCATTGGTCTTATCCCAGCACTCCGGCACTTCTCAAGGGTAAGCGCCATAAGCTAGTAGAAGATCACGCGCCGCAAAGAAGCTGCATTGTTCACAGTACGCTGATGCTGACTACTTGGGAAGTCTGTAATGGCGATGTGTTTCCCATGCACGTTGTCTTAATGGAAAGGCTGACGGAGATGCATAGTGAAGGAAACATCTTCGTCTCCTGCACTTTTCTGTAGGGTGATATGCGAGGTTTGGGCTCACATTATGCCTTGGTTACTGGTGCTTTTGGAGCCTCAGTGCAGGGACGCATGGATGCACTTATGATGCCTGCCCCAGTCCAAGTCTTAGTTGCAGAAATTGAATGATGTACATGGCATTGCACGCAACAAACGTGTGCAAAACAGCAAGGGCGTGCCTCCCAACTGTTTATGTAGTTGTCCGATGGTGTGGATCCAATTTGTCCCCAGCCGCCAGCACCCTGCCGGCATTGGGATGTTTGATAACACCGAGCAGAATCTGAAAACGTCCAAAGGGTCTCTCACTGGCCTCAGTGACTGGGTTCACTGGTTGCTGTCCGCCCCAGCGAATGTGTAACCTCGACTTTATGACTTTAGGAGGCTTGATGAAGCTTTGAGGAAGCATTCAACAGACTGCCAGCACTGAATGCCCAGCAGAGAGAGTTTCGGCTGCTGCTGTGCCTTGGTACACGTACAACAGGACTTTGCTGCGACGTACAAAGCGTGTTGAGACGCAGCCATGAGCCTCCGAAGGCTTCCCCCGCTGGCGTATCCTGGGCTAATTTCACGTGGCAGCTCAAAAGCCCCACACGCCTTGCACTGCGAGTGCAGCTTGGGATCTGTTCGGGCATCACTCTCTGCGTCACCATGCTAGGATTCTTCACCTCGTCCATGCGAGCCCAGGCAAGCACAAAAGTGTCGTAAGTTGATGGCAGTTGCCGCGGATGTCTGTGTGTCGAAGTGAGTTGAAGGGAGCATCATGCTGAGAATGCGACATCCAGGCGGTGGCCCCTCCACAAAAACCAAGCAAACTCAAAGTTTACAGCGCTCCCACGCGTGTGTAGGTGAATCGAGCTACAGCTTGGTCTTAAAGAAACAACACGGCCGAAGGCCATCTCTTCAACCGGTCCCGCCATGGAAGACAACTGAAGGTTCATTATGCCGCCTTCTGTTGTACCATGTGGGATGTGTCCACCGGATCTGGACCCACGTGTTGTAATCCTGACAGAGCCATTGCAGAATTCGCAGATCAAGGCCACAAGCTCTCTTCACGAAGAGGGGGTACTCGTCCCGTCTCCTGGGGGTTGTAGTACTGTGCATCCCAGTGCTCATTCACCACAGCCGTAGTCCACGCGTCCGTCCTGACCATTCTGAGACACACGATGCTGCGATTACTTCTCACTTACCATACGTTTTCTTCTTGTGCAAAGGAGTGCACGGTGCCCAGTCTTTCCAATGCTCGGATGCAGGAGGCCCGAGGAGCCAGTCTGTGCCATGAAGTAGCCATTTGGGTCCTGGTCAAACTTCTATGATGCTCTTATGCTCCCGATTAAGCTCCCCGCATATGCCGGGAAACTACTCTTCAAATCTCTTCGATCTGGAATGCAACTCCCCGGAGCGCGCCTGGCAATAGCGATGAAAGACGTCCACAGGCTCACCAGCTGTAAGATACGCGACAGTCACGGGCAGTACCTCCTTTTCCTTAGATTCAACACTATTCGTAGAGCTTCAGCTACAGTATGCAAAGGGTCAGCCGAAGGCCGAAGCACCAGAATCCATAGGCTCTCGCGGCAGCAGCGACTAAGATCCACAGCTACGACGAAGAAGCTGTAAGGCTCTGCATCCCAATGCATCCCAGCATCACTGTGACCGCTCTTGCCATTTGCACCTGCGACGACAGGCGTGCGTCACTGCGGCACATACCAAGCAGTATGACTGCAACATGTTCGGAGCCTTTGGACCACTTGCCTTTGGAGCCCTTGTGTCCTTGCATCTCGCTGAGCTGAGCCAACCATGCCCAAGCCATGCCCAAGCAAACACGCGTCCTTGTGCATATGGACCGGACTGATAACCTGCCCAAGCCATGGCTCAAATAGGGCACATGGCGATGGTCACTTTTCTTGAGAAGCTTGCATTTTGTCATGGAAGTAGCTGGGACGATGTACTGTGCAATGCAACTTTATGAAAAAGCAAATTGTCGTACCTGATGCTTGCTGTGCTTTGAATGTTTGTGGGTACTATGCCCGTGCAGCTTCGAAACAGAGGCACGGAGCTATGTAACCACATCACTGGCAAAGCACGGCTCAAACGAACCATAGCGAAAACCGGACCAGCTATGGCGAAGCTGCCCCTTCAAAGAAGCAACATCGTAGTTGTACTCATGCTCTGGCAACAACGACCACAGTAAGACGTCCTAAGCGTAGGATACCTGAACGTCACCGAGGTGATTCACCAGGGTCTCTGACCACAAACTGAAGACCTGCTTCCGGCACTGGGCATGCGCTACAAGCCGTTTCGCGGTACTGCGCACACGCTGGACATCATCCAGCAGTGACAGAGCTGCACAGCTCTCAGATCGACGAATTTGCACAGCGTGCCTGCACAATGCTCACCCGCGACAACTGTACAATTGCAGTCTCGGGCTCTGGCAGAAACTTGTCAAAGATCTTCCACAGGCTGTTCAAATGTACAGTGGTTGAAAAGAAGTCTATTTCTTTCAGCCCAGCAATCAGATTTCGAGTGCCATCTGCCAGATTTGTAGCATCTACAAAAAGATCCGTGCAGCAGAGCCATCTTCTCCAAATACCCAGGCAACATCCCAGTGTCCTTAGCAGGTTGACATACGAAGCCTCATGTGAGCCAGCCCTCCCTCCAGCAAGGCGCAAAAAAGTAAACTATGGTAAAACTCGGACCAGCCATGCGGTCTTGCACAAGCAAGCATCTTCCGGAATTGGCAGCCCCACTGATTTGGGATATGTCGCGCAGTTGAAGCACGACTCGCCCCAGGTTGAAGTGCATGCAGAGTATGCTGTGCCGCGATATTTGAGGGGTGCCTCTGGCGGAAATGCGTAAGACTTGTTCACGTCCATCATATCTTTCCTTACGGAAGATAGTCCACAGTCCTTTTCGCTGCAAGCAGCTTTGATGTCCCAAAACACGAAGATCACACCAAAGGGCGAGTATGTAGCATCCTCAAAGTCTGGAAAGTCGTTGCTGACCTAAGCGCATCCCGTGAAGCTTCTCAATGATTCTGACAATTCTCAACTTCTCATCCCAACTTTTACAACACTCCCAGCATGTGAGTTCAGGGCTCAAAGCTTCGGGTGGATCACACTTGAAGTAGCGGCAATCCAGAGAAGACTATTTGAACGAACCTAGATCAAACGTGAACACTTGGGAAGAGCCCTGTGTACAATAGATCGGAATCGCCTTTCTTGCCTTCGCACGTTTGGCTTCTCAGAAACATCTTGATCTTAACAGCCGGTTATGTCACTCTCTTCCTTCTGTCGGCCTTCCTCCAGAACTCGCTTTGGAGTAACCTTGACAAACAACTTAACTGCTGCAGAAAACTCATTGAAAAACCTTGCCAGAACACTTTGCCAGGAAAGCTGTTGCCATCCAGAAGGGTCGAAACCAGCGTGTGCATGTCGTTTCGCAACACTGTGTCGGGCGTGAAGCCGAACACCGTGTCCTGCAGTCTTTCACATGCCAAGACTACTCACATGCCGAGAAAGACTCACAACCTCTGAGCCGGATCAGTTGTCCTGCGGCGCGTTCCTGAAGCGCACCCCAACGTGGCCAGTCCATCGCATGTGAGGAGCAGACTCGTTGTAGTTCGTCTGGTCACCAGGGAAGCCCACCAGTTGAACCTCCGAGGCCAAGGAAGGCAGCTCGAGGGCACCTGCCCAAAGCCGCAGCCCCTTCAAAGAAGGGAATTGCTTGCATTTCTTTGAGCCCTCAACCTCCCTGGCCTCCTTTGATCGCAGCGCAGGCTACAAAAGCCACAAGATGTAGGGCGTGCATGTTCTCAAGTTCTCAAGACTGTGTGTTCGGATTCGTTTGGGTTATCAGCGGCGTCTGTGGAGAGGGTATTGATACACCTAATGCCAATGGCTGGATTGCAATCTGCACAACTTGATGCTTGACACTGAAAGACGGCTCGAGCCAGCTGCGTGCACATCTTCTTGGTTATTGCAGTATGAGCGTGCTTCGCCAAAATGTTCTCCCTTGCCATTAGCGATGAATAGCCATCGTAGAAACGCGCTGTCGCCGGATCCAGGACTTCTGTCAGTGGCACGGAAAGACTCCAGTGGCACAAGCATCTTCTTTTACCCGCGCGATGAGAACAAGGCGTGCTCAGCTTGGCTGGAGCATATGCCTGGTGCACGAGATGCTAAAGATCCCCCTCAAGACTCCTCAAGACTCCTCAAGACTCCTCAAGACTCATCCCGCATAACCCGCAGCCGCAGCCGCCGCTCGCTGCGGCCTTAGAACCGGCCGCTGTTGCCAGCCCAGGCCGCACGAAGCACATGCAGCCACGCCTTCAACAACCTTGTTGCCCACAATTATACTTGGGTGTCTGGCACGGCCGAGCTCGCAGAAGCTTCAGGCGCGGCCACTGCCTACAGGATGTGATGATGTTCAGCTATGCTGAACACTGCTGAAAATAGAACTCGTAGTTGTGTGGGACGTGGAAGTCCTGCGGCTTCGAGATTGCCATACGGATGGAGGCGTCTACAGCCAGATCATCCTGTGCAAACAGGGCATCAGGTCAGCTCGTGATAGAACAGAAGATAAGCGAAGAGAAGAAGCATTTACTGGCTCCCAGTCCAGCACTTTGTCCACCTCTGCTTCCGCCTCCAAGCCATCTCTGCTCTTCGGATCTTGCGTTACAAAGGGTCCAGGCAAGGAAGCGACGCAACAAGCGGCCTCAACCTCGAGATCCGGTCCATCCTGACATGCTCACGTCATTCTGTGCGATCCACTGATCCACTCAGCAAGCCTAAAAAGTCGACTGCATCTCAAGCACTGCAGCGAAGTAGTTTTGCCCGCACTCAGGGGCCGAGGACGCGGCCATTTCCTCCATGCCTTCGTCAATCAACTCTTCGATGAGACCTGACCAAGGCGTTGGGGGGCCAAGCCCGGTAGAAGCAACAAGTACAAGAACAAGAAATGAACCTTCCAGGTAACAGGAAACCATCAGAACATTCTTTCTGTACCGGCTCGCTCAGACGAGGGTTTGAGTCAGGCCCCGGCCAGGCACATGACTTCTTCGCCGTTGCGGAGGGGGGGGGGTACGAAAAAAGTTTGGAGCTCGGCGGGGAGCGAAATAAGGAATCACTACCGCAGTTAAGCAACAACGGCGCGCATTGATCAACTTTCGGGCTTATAACGCGCTTTGCTGGGCACCTCGTCCCCCTTGTCCTATCTCTTCCGTGGCTTGTCACCCCGCACTCACCTGATGAGAATCGTACTGCGATGCGGACGCGTTCTGAAATCAACTCGCATGCCAGTAGGTCAGACGAGCTTTGACTCAGCAGTAGTTGGCCCGACCCTGGCCCCCCCGCCCGCTCCCCCCCTCCCGGCAGTCGTGCCGACCCTCGCCCCTCCCCCCCCCCCAAAAAAAGAAAACTGAAACCAATGATCGCTGTGTAGGAATGAAGGGCGAATGACAGCATGCATGTCATGTCAAAAATGATTTCTGTAAGCGACTCTACGAAATTCTAGGCTTGCTTCCCACCTTTTGTCTCAGCTTCGCTGGGTGCGAGACTCAGATTCAAACTTATTGAAACAAGAGAACCATCCCGTAGTGATTTCTGGTGCAACAACTCGGTAGTCTTGAACCGTGCCTGTGTGATTTCCTGGCTTGCACATGGCTTGCCCTGAGCACTGAACACAACGGCAAGGAGCAATTGCCTGCGCGCATCATCTCCCTTCTCATGGATGTGATCGATTCCTCAAGCTGCATCTGGCGGAACACATCACAAGGGTGGACCTGAATACAATGAGGCCTCCATTTCAGGAATCTTGACCAGAGAGTTCATTTGCTTCATGACCTGTCTGCGACATTTGCTGTGCTTCATCCGCTTGTGTCTTGTGGAGCCCAAGCCTCTGCGGACTTGCTCATGGAGTCAGAGAGCCGCATTGTTGCGGCAGTTGTTTCCAGTTCTGCCACTGCCTTAAATAGCATCAACTGCAGCATCAACTCACTGATCCAGAAGAAATGGAGGCGCGGGCATGCACGACAAGTGCAATATAAGCGCACTTCAGTTCAAATGGACTGTGTGGCATGTCATTCTCTGCAATAGAAAACTGCGACTGGGTTCCCTGCAGACTGCATAATTGATCTAGACGTGTAAAGGCGGTCCTGTCATTAGGATCGCTGAGTGGACAGATCCAGCAACAAATGCCTTCTGAGTGTCGTGGCCTTTGCTTTGTTCGATCGAACGAGGGACTTGGCCAGCATCTGAATGCTCTTGGGGTCACCCCCCTGTTTTGCCATGGTCTGGCAGCGAGCTCGTCTTCATCATCACTCACCGCCCAAAACTGCATGGGCCTTCTGACATCTTGAAACACACTGTCAGGATCTGCCAATGTACTGCAATCTTTCGCCTGGATGTCTTTCCGAATCTTGTCTTCCTCTTGCTCGATCTTCCTGTCTGATCTAAGAATCTAAGAATCTAAGAAGCTCAATGAAGTTCTCCAACGTGCGGACTGGCGGACCCGCCCCGTTCCCAGAAGCGGTGTCCTGATGCTTCTGTCCAAGCCTCGAGCTTCGGAACGCAGATTCCTTTGCCATTGGCGAACCATTTCTTTAGCCGACTCCTGCAAGCGCCAGGGCGAGAAACAGGGGGCATTCTTAAACCCCGACAGGGTGCCTCGAAACCCAAAGTACCAAACAAGCCACACAGGCGAACAACTCCGCTGCACGATGTTGCGCCGAGTTTACTGCCCCAAGCTTGTGGGAAGTGCTTCGGGGACCCGAAAATTCCGCCGGTTTGGAGCAATGCAAAGGTCTTATCTGTAAAGTGTCTAATGCTTCCAGCTTCCATTGAGAGGCTGCCCAGCGCAAAGAAGAAGACGCCCGAAGGGAAACAGATCCCGACCGCGGCTAGTATTATTCTCTCGGCGAAAGCTGCAGAAGCTGCGCCTGCTGGGCTTCCTGTGTGTGGCCCTTGCCAAACAAGTTGATTCCCAGCGGCATGGCTTCAGAAGGAAAAACAAAAAAAGCAAAAGCAGCGTCGCGTGGAACAGCCTGAAACTATAAAGCTGGAGTGGCTGTCGGGACTGTAGGGCAATGCTGCCATGATTGCCAAATGTTCATACAGCTTGAGCATCGGCTGACTGCATTGAAACAGGGCTTCGTGCTTACCACGGCTTACCCTGCAACTTGTACTTGCTACAGCGCTTTTCGTTCTTGCTGAGTTTTTGCTAAACCGATGCGAGACAGTAATTAGTCGGAATGCTTGCCAAGCGGCTGCATTGACGTGCGGCTGGCTGAGAGTCAAGCACTCCCACCGTCCACTAAAAGAAACCTACAACAAAAACCAAGCAGCATGGTCTTTGAAAGACTTGCTGCGCAGCGGGTCTTTGAAAGACTTGCTGTGCAAAAGGGTCAGGTGTCCTGTTGATGCGGTTGACTTGTGAGCGTTTATGCTTCGTAACGCTGTAGTGCATGTTGAATCACCGCATGTCGTCCATCCACAGGAAGCCATGGGTTAGGCTCGGCTGCGATTCAGGATTCGATGAACACCTGACACACAACTCTTCCTTTCACAATCTGGTCCCACCTCCACACCATTGTCCCCAAGGCAGCGGCGTGAGTACAGAAACGTCGGCGACAGAAGGATGTAGTGCCTGGGAAAAAAGGTACACAGAATGTCTTCTTTAGTACTAAGCGGCAACGCAGACCGATTCCAGAAGTGTCGTGAGCTGTCCAGTCCACACTGCGCAGGGCCCCGTACCCGAGAGGCCCAAGGAAGGTCGTGAACACGAGGCAGAGCAGCAACTGCAAAGGCGCAACTCGAACAAAGATGGCAAGAAACACACACCGATAGATCGACAAACGGACAGAGACACGGACGCAGACACAGACGCACGCATGGACTCTGCAAGGCGACAGTCCAACAAACTGTCTGCAGCCAATCTTGAGCTCTTTCCCGACAAACGAGCCAGGCTGACAATGACCGCCACTACCAGAAGCCCGGTCTGATCCTGGGCAACGTGACTTCCAAGACATGCTGTGAATACACACACACACACACACAGAGACACAGACACGGAGACACACAGACACACAGACACACAGACACACACACACACACACACACACACACACACAAGAGCACAAACACAAGAGCACAAACATTCTTTCACAGAGGGCCAATCCCAGGCAAGTCCATCGCAGATGCTCATGGTCAGCACAGCTACCTCAGAATTCTCCCAGACGATGCCAAAAGATGAGCCCTCAAAAACAAGCAGCATCGCTCCGTTGCCTGGCGACTCTGGCGACTCTGGCGACTCTGGCGACTCTGGCGACTCTGGCGACTCTGCCACTGAGGCCGTGGCGTGATCTCGGAAGTAGAAGTGGAAGACGTACGCGCCCAACGTAGTGTTCCCCCACCTGAGTGTTCAGCGTCTTGGCATAATACCACAAGTGCCATGTCACAATGCAGGTTGCCCCAGCAACCTTGTGTGGACTGTACGTGCCGAGCAGACCACCAGGCAAGGTCGAAGGGCACGTAAGTCATTCCCAGCCTCGTTCTAAGAAAAAAGCGCATGCTGCAACAGCACGTCACTTCAATAAGCATTAGAACAGGCTCAGCAAAACACAATTAGCCGCACTTAGCAGTGAGAGCATCTAGAAACTCTCTCACAAAAAGCAGGGCCCCCCAAGAGGCCCTGACACGAACAGGGTTGGCTGAATGATGTCAACGCCGATCTCGAGCCAAGCCCAGGCCTCGAAAGAGGACAGAAGAAACTGAGAGAGCGAGAGAGAAAGAGAGAGCGAGAGAGCAAGAGAGAGAGAGAGAGAGCGAGAGAGAGCGAGAGAGAGAGAGAGAGAGAGAGAGAAAAAAAAAAAAAAAACAACAAATCACACACTTTTGTATATCTCCACGAGAAGTGCCAAATCCTTTCACCTGAGACTCACCTTCGTCTTTGCTGTCAATTAGAACCTTGCACTCACACATAAATCAGTCAGACCTAGTCACTAGTCATGCAGCCCCTGCTTCAATTCTGGCTTTCAGAATGTGCAACAGCGACATGCTCCCTTGGTGACAGTGTTGGCACACACACAAAGCAAAAGCCAAAAACAGGAACATGAAACAAGAGCTCTTCTTGCTAAGAAAAAGGCTAAAGGGGACTCTGAAGACTCTCTGCTTTCGCAATTGGGATGCAGGCCATGCCGGTACCGTTCTCCAGCACATTGTTCGGGTAGTGGAACCTGAAGTTCATCGCATCAGCCCACACTTTGACTTCCCTGAACATTGACATTTGACGTTGCAAAACTGGGGCGCGCGCAAAGCCATCAACACCTTGGATGTGGCAACAATGTGGCTTGCGATATTATGGCAATGTAGGGAAACTCTCAGAGGCCGGCCCCGATGAACATGCTGCCGCCCAGGGCTGCAGCAGCCCAGGTTGGGCCCTTGCAAAGGCGCGAAAGAGGGATTCGCAAGGATTCGCAAGGATTGCTGAAAGCAACCCAGAAACCGAGTCGGCCTTCGGGAGCCGCTTCGACAACAAAGTTACCGCCGGCCTGGCCGCTTTCAGTATGAAGTCTGAGTCTGCATGAAGTGAATGCAGGAAAAGTGCAACTACAGATACTACAGGCTCAATGGCTCAATGCGCCGCAATGCGCGCCCGCGGCAGAGACGCAACACCAAGATCACCGAGCACGGGAACCGAGCAAAACGGGCACCTGAGGTAATGGAAGCTCCAAACGTAGAAAGCCAAGTACCTTGCCGAGCGTGAGTGGCTTGAAAGTGGCTACGCAACAGTTGCTGGTAATTGTGGCGGGTCACCACGACACCCAGCGCAGGTACATGGGACATCCGGTTCCAAAGTTCCGGAAGATCCACCTGGAGCGATGGCATGCGATGGTAACAGAGAATTCAACAGAATTCAGATCGCACACTGGCACGCACGGTTGGTAGTGGTTGCCCTATGCCATTGGATGCTCGTGCGTCGTTGAAGCACGTTGTGCTGTCGGGCTACGAGAAGGTCCACATCACATAGACCTGGGCCTCAGATAGCAGAGCTCAGCTTGAACAGGTATTTGAAACGTGAGCTGTCGACACTTGAACGTCGAACATCGCACATCTATGTCTGTGGCACTCTGGCTCTCGCAAACGTCGAATGTGAAGGGCCGCCGGTCGGGGCCTGATGTGGTGAGGATGCTGCATTGTTTTGGCACATTTTTTGGCACGTTTGTTTGGCACATTTCCTGCTGAACTGGATGGTGGAAGAGACGGAAGCCATGGAAGCCATGGGAGCCATGGGAGCCTTGCCTTCGAAAGAAGAATCAGGCAACAAGCACCTTAGCTCAGATCCATAGCAGCGAAGTGCTTCCAAAGCCCCAAGGACATCATGAAGCCCTGAAGCCACTTGTGAAGCATCCAGAAGTATGCACAAACAAATGAGCTCTCGGCGGGATGGTGGCTAAGATGCCTTGCAACCACCCTGGGACCTGCATCTGGGCCGAATGCTCAGCGAATGGTTTAGCCGTGCCACTGAAAGCACCAATTCGCGCACTGGACGGACCAGATTCACGCACTGAAACGCAGCTTCGCGCACCCAGCATTTGCGGACTGAACGTCGGTCGCAAAAACTGTCGCACGCCAAAAAACGACAATGGCACGAAAACCGAAACCCTGCACCAAAAGCACGGATCCGACCAACTTGCATGGCATCATCATGAAAACGCACAGCAAAGGCACAGCACAGCAGCCTCACGGTTAGATTGTGCGACAGCACTCAGACTAGATCAGATCAGATCATGCTAGGTCAGATCAGATGGACAGTATTTCGCTCTGGGGCCGACAATTTCTGAAAGTTGACCGATGGCTCCCAAGTCCCTGCGCGCAACGCGATCGGATTTGGTCTAACCTGATCTGACCTGCATGATCTCAGCTGAACTAGTCTGAACGGTGTCGCAAAGCTGTCGTACAGTCTGATCTGATCTTGTCTAGGCTGACCGGAGTTGACTTCCTATGAGGTGACGCAGTTCGTGCACTCGTGGCCTCATGCAAGGTGTGCAGAAAAACTTCAGCCTAACGCCCTAAAAACAACAAACACAAGCCCAAACCCCAAACCCGGAACGCCTTCTGCAAAAAGCGAAAGCCTACAAACCCCAAAACCCGAAACCCGAAAACCCTGAAAAGCCTTCTTACCAACTACTAAACCCAAAGCCTTACCCCAAAACCCCACATACCCCAGCCCCAATCTATAAACTCTAAACCCTGACAGGCCCTAACAGACCCGAAAAGCTTAAAAACATTTAAGACTCTCAAACCCTGACAACCCGTAAAAGGCTCTAGAACTCCTCAAACCCTAACACGAAACTTGAAATCTTAAAAGCACCCGAAGAAACCCAACCCTCAACCCTAAAAGGGGAACCCCCAAACCCTCAAGACCCTCAACCCCCAACACGAAACCAAGACGCCAAACTCCTAAATCTCAAAACCTTCAAGACCGCAAAAATCCCGCCCACAAATCCCCAGACTCTCCACCCTACAGTAATACGTCTGATACGTTAGATTCGGGCGCGTTCCAACATGACACGTTTTGCGTTCGCGCGTTCCAAAATGACACCGTCTTGGGCACGCATCCCCACCTTGAAATGATCCTTCTTATTGTGTATCATCCCATCGTAGGCAAGAGAGAAGTTCGCAATTACCATTTGCAAGCACAATGCTCTTACTCCCCGCCATTTGCAAACACAATGGTCGCATGATGGTTTGAAAGGAATTCACATGTTCTGAGCGCGGGCGAAGGATCGTGCTATTTCCGCGCAGGAGGAGATGAGGGGCGTCCGCCCTCCCAGCCCGCCCGGCACGCGTGGTTGCATTTAACGTCGTGCGAACTGCCGCGGGGGCTGTTAGACAGACCACCTTTGAAAAGCCACCGCAAAAATGATCACCTGAGCTCAGCAAAATCACTGCAGGGTGCAGGTTTTGACGTCGTCCGCGTTCCAAAATGACACTTTCCCGCGTTCCAAAATGACCCCTTTCCACCACCTGGCGGGGGTAGGCGGTACACAAACAACAGGTGCAAACCCCTAAATCCGAAACATCCGAAACCACAAACCTGGCCGAATCCTAAACCCAAAAACACTCGGCCCCAAACCCTCAACACTCGAGAGCCTAAAAGACCTCGACCATGAAATCCCTCAGCCCTGACCACCATCATTGGTGTGCAACAGCCTGAACCCTAAACCCCAAACACCCTTGAAGCCCTAAATACCCTAAACCCTTGAAAGTCGTGTAACCATGAATCGTTCCCTCCCTCGTGCTTGTGGGGCAGACCACCTGGATGCGCTCACAAATCTCCAGATACAGCCTGGCCTCAGTCATGCTTCCACAGTTCACTGTGCATCTGGTACACCCAACCCGGTACATTCGGTAACCCCATCAGGTGCGGACAGAGAAAACCATGCCCAGATACCACCGGTGATCCGACGTGTAAGAGTTCACCTGCCAGAGCGACGCGATATTGAGCCCGAAGCTCCGAAGGCGCAGGGAGTGGACCTGCATATAGCTCCAGCCCCATTCGTTCGTGGGCTCCATGCCACCTCCATATGGCGCGTCTTAGGCGGGTCATGTAAAACGATACGTCGAGGCACCCCAATCGATTGGCCACGCCAGCTGCCGGAAGATGAAGTGCAGGATCTGGGGGAACGGCATGGCCTCAGGTCCAAGCGAGTCGTCCCCAGAACCGCAGGAATGAAACTTGCGAGAAAAATCCCAGGGGCGGACCATGGCCATGTAGACGAGCAGCACAAACACGTCCTCTTCCGTTTAAGGACTGTATAGGGAGCGCCCGAAGGGCGCCGAGAAGAGGTTCAGAGGCTGACGCCCAAGTTTGTTTTTTCACATGTCGGGCAGCGCCGGTCCTTCATCCCAAACTTGACCTTTGGGGGTCCTCCTGGAGCGTCTGGCCGGGAGTCTTGGTAGGCTCCCAGCATGATGAAGCCTTAGGAGGGTGCCGTGAAATCTCGCGTCAATGGTCTACTGGTCCGTTGGAGTCTGCATGAAAAAAACTCGCTCCAAGTTCTCCCCAAATCTAAGTTCCCAACCGAACAAGTCCTGATCATTCCCCAATGAACGCACGAGGATCTCCGACCAAGGCTTGACTGCTGTCCTGCGCAAATGCAGAAACTCAGAAGGCCTCTCTGAAACCCCAAAAGCCACTCTTTGGAGACGTCTTTCAGCATGCTCTCCTTGCCAGTGTCGTGCAGAACGGGTAGTACTTGTGATCAGAGTCCGTGTCAATGGCACAGCCTCTTGAAGCGGAATGAGGGCTCTGCAGAGAGGAATCGGTTTTCGAATGCATCTTCGTAACGCATGTAGTGATCGGTCAGGACGCCAATCATCCACCACCTTAGCTGCAGGAGAGCTGCAGTTGCTCTTGCACTGCAGACGCTGCACTCGCAGCTGGCGCAGTGCTGATACCTCAGGTGCCAAGACGTACTCCCGAGCGCTCCGCGCGTAGCACCTGTGAATTACCTGGTCAATAGGGTCACTACGGCCGAGGCCAGTCCGTGACTCAGTGCACCCATTCACCCAAATGCACGAAGCAACATCGAGATATCATGAGATACCTGGTTCTCGAATATGGCCCACTTGGACAGCTTCTTCATCTGCCCTAGGGAGTCCATTACAACCTGACGTGATGCGCTGCTATCAACAAACATCCAAAACAACAGTGAAGCCTCGCCCTCTTCGACCACATGGTCTGTAGCCATCTCTGTAAGCTGCTTCAGATTGGACCTGAGCCCAGAACGTTGCAGCCAAAGGTCTCAAACCGAGCAACAGAGCATAGGGGGGCTTTGACTTGAGCGCTGCACTTTCCATTCGGCAGCTTGGGAAGCTCTTGCAGGATGACGAAGAACCTCAAGTAAAGCTTTCAGACTAGCCTGACGATGCCGCAATGCCGGAACTGGAACGACAATCCAGGCTGCCGGCTTGGGAACATATGATGGTGTCAGGTTTGCCTGTTCAGCTCCGTGTGCCATAGAGTCGATACTTCGTTAATGTTGGACTGGCTTTAGTATAAGCAGGTCTATAATCACAAGCTTCGAAAATTCATTCTGCGAACCGAGGTTGTTCAGGGTACCGGCTATTATCACAAGTTTTTCCCGGACGTTTTTTTGTGGGTCTGTGCTTTGGGTTAAGACTTAAGAGCTACGCAGTAAGGTTTGAAGCCCTGAGGGCTTGGGCTCCAGGAATTTTAAAGAGCCAGAGCGCGGAGAATCCAGAAATCTAAGACCGGCCAGTTCCACGTAAGGCCTTATGGAAATTCATTACGAAACGAGGCCCCAATCACATTCTGTGATAGACAGCCCACGGGCCCGTCAGGCTGTCTTTAGTAAGTTTGTCTGGGTACCCTCTACAATACCAAGTTTTTTTCGGATGAATTTTTGTTCAAGGGTTTGTGTTTAGGGTTAAGGGCTTACGCAGTAAGGCTTGAGGCCCTGAGGGCCTTGGGCTCCAGGAATCTTAAAGGCTGGAAAGCTTCAGGCCTTGAGGTCCTAAAGGCTTGAGGCCCTGAGGGCGGTTCCCCCCCCCCCAATTTGTTTGGGGGGGTCGCTGCGCCATGCGTTTATAGAGGGTCCGAATTTGTTTGGGAGGGAGGGGGGGGGGGCCCCCACACTAAAGACAGTGCAACATGACTTCGAAACCCTTCAAAGAGCAGAATTTTCTCCACGCTGCAGTTTCAAACGGTCGTCGCGTAGGAGAGCGCACTTTGTTGCACAGTGCCGCTAAACGCGATGGACATCGCAACTCCCTCCCTCAAGGAGTCAGGCGGCAGCGTTGTCTTGCATCAGCCGCTTAAGGGTGCTCCGAACGCTCAGCTCACAAGCGCAGCAAAAGACATCTCAACAAACAGACAGGAGCTTGAACCGACTGGGCCTCATCAAGGCTCAGCTGCGGATCCACTATCACGGGGCCCTTGCAAGACTTCGGATATTGCGAGATCTTGCGAGATCTTGTGAACGTTACAAAGAAGAAGTCTTGACTGGACGACGGGGGAGCTGTACAGTCACGCTGCGTCAAAGACAGAGGTGTGGTACCGGCTACCTCGGGAGGATGAGGATGTCTCCTCGGCCCGAAACTGTTCTTGCGTCACCGCCAGAGTTTCACCAAACAGAGCTACGAGAAACTTCTTGGCGTCCGCACTGCACAGCTCACTTTCAGAGCAAAGACCAGGCGCGGACGGTTGTTCTTCAGGTGTATGTGGTGCTCCGCACGCTTGGATATCCACTCGCTGTGGCAAAATGCCAGTTTCTCGGTGCGGAGTAATAAGCCTTGCTCTGGGTAGAGCCTGGCGCTCGTGGTAATCGTCGGCGCGGTCTTGTAGGCGACTGCCCGTCACGCGGCCCACCTTGAACCATGTAACGCCCTGCCGGTCATGGAGACAGAGGGTGTAGTAGAGGTAGAAGCCATCAAATCATTCACGAAGCCCCGCGTCCAAGACGCTCAACTTGAGCAGGATGTGCCGCAGTGCTATGAACTTTTTGCTCATACCTGGGTTCGTTACAGGGTCTCACGGCACCCTGAAGCCATTTCGGCAGGGCCGACTTCGCATTCCCTGCGCATAGGGTCATGGGCAACTCTCCCACCAGGGAGTTTTCGCAGGGGGCACCCCCCAGGATACTTTCGACCCGTTCTTCTACTTCTGAGTTTGTCGGTGAGAACAGTACCTTCTCGCCCTTCTCGGACACGCTCTTGTCGAAGACCCGGCTCACTAACAAGCAGAACCACAAGCTTCCTGATAAGATAGTCATGTTGCTGGCGTTGTCGGTATGGGGAACGGAGATGCGACGAGAAGAACGCCCTCGAGTAGCCGGCTGCTGTCCATCCTTGCTCATTCGCTTCCGGCTTTGGTCGATCCTTGCCTGCTGCTCCTCAAGAACCTTGGCGTTCCGCCGACTTCTCCTGCTCCTGCTGCGCCAGGACCTCCTTGTTCTGCTGGATCTCGGCGAGCTGGCCCTTGAGTATCTTATTGCGCTCGGCAATGTTTTTCTCTTGGCGGAGTTGCGCCAGCTGGCCCATCAACTGGCTCACCTTCTCGCCCGACATCTCGCCAGTCCGAAGCTCCCGGAAGGCTTTATGCTGGAGCTCGTCCTGCAGCACCGACATCTGGCTCTCGCCGCTTGCCCCGCAAGACGCAAGAGCAGAAGGGCACTGCGTCGGCGCTTCCATGGCGATGGAGAACGGTGTCAGGCGGTCCAGTGACCAACTTGCCTCCACGCAGGCCGTATGGGCGTGGAAACCACTTAACTCGAACCAAAACAGGCTGCCCATGCACAAGTGATTAATAATGACCATAAATAACTCCTCATCCACAAATACTTTTTGCAGCTCTGTCGCAGAACTGGGAAGAAACTTGGCTCTTACAGCTTCTCCCTTTGCCTTGTATGTTGAACTCAAGCTTCTTGCAGCTGTCGTTGCAATCTCTCTCAAAGAATATCCCACTCGAAACTGGCCATCCGTTTTGTCATCACGAAATGGGCCAAAGATATCCCCGTATCGTTTGCACATCTTCTCGACGGTCACACACGGTCACGGAGTGCCACGTGGCCGGCAAAGCCGTCAGTTCGACCCAGTGAGAAACCTGTGCCGCCTGCGGCGGCTGTGGCACTTGTGGCGCTTGCGGCGCTTGCGGCGAGGCTCCGTGGCAGGTCCCCGGGAGGTCCTCGGCGAGGGTGCCGCATCCGCTGGGGGCGCTGAGCTGGGTCGCGGTGCTTCCCTGTAGAGCCTGGACGAGCATGGATGTGCCATGATGTCAGAATTTGATCTGGATTGTGCCTTCCGGCGGTGGTTTTGGCGGCATCAGCTTTGGCTTCACCTTCCGGGTCGGAACATGTCGGAAAAGTTGAAGCACATGTCTCCCCTAAACTGCTTAATGCTGCTTGACAGCCCCAACGCATCTGCGCATTCGGCGTGGAAAAGCCGGCCGCGAAGAAGCGGGCCTGAGAGACGAGTTGGCTCATCGCGAGGGGTGGGCACAACAACTCAGCGTAAACGCGCTGAAAATATCAGCGAACAAAGCCCAAAGTCCCTGGAGATGCCTGCAGCACGTTGACTATGCACTCTGATCACTCTTTGTCTGATTTCTGATGTTTCTTAAATCCACGCCCAGGCAGCACCTGGAATGAACTGTCGCTTTTTGCGGATGTGTCACGTGATGTGTCAAGCTGTTTCTGGCTGCTGATGTGGTCTGCTTCAGATTCCAAAACAGAAAGGAGTGGATGGCCCACGGAGTCAGGGACGGACAGTCTGACTGTGCTCACGGAATGCAGTCGCACCTGCCTGCCCGCCATTGCCAGCTTTGCAGGTTGCTGGGAGCTCGAGCGGCTGCAGAGTAGTTGGACCACGGCGCGTACTCGGCCGTGGGTTAAAGTCCACTTTTTGGGTTTATCTGTGGTTTAGGGGGGGGGGGGAGGGGATGGGAGGGGGGGGGATAAGAACGTCATTCATATTGCGCCTGTGCCCAAAACCGGCGTTTTCATCTCTTTGTACAACATACTGCGCAAGGAGGTGGAACAAGACGCATTGTCGCAAGCGTCCATGCATTTGGTGACCATGCCCAAAACACTGGCATTTACAGCGTTTTCATCACTGTGTACAACATACTGCGCAAGGATGTAGAACAAGACATGCTGTCGCAAGCGTCCACGCTTTTGGCGACCATGCCCAAAACACTGGTAGTTACAGCGTTTTGCGATTCTGAGTTTAGCGACCTGCTGAAAGAAAACTTTAAAGTTCTTGATCTTTTCACACTCACACATGAGTCATGAACCACATAAGTATGAATCTTGTGCGATTTCCGAAGTAGTTTACGCCAGATGTTTTGCCTCTTTTTTAAGGCGTTTTCTTGGGAGCCGAATGACGAATACATCCTAAACACCAATACGCCGTGCACTTGCCCTCAATCTGCAAATGTGTCTGAAACACCACGGCCGCGCACGCGCCGTGGACCGAGTAGTTGGAAAGAATTTCTCAAGAAGTCTGTATCTCTGTGACTAACACAAACCGCAGGTCTGGTCCACCAGCAGTTTCGAAGCACCCTATGCCTGGCAGTGAGCTCGCAGGGTCTCGGAAGTAACAGCTCCATCTAGACCTCGGCTTGTCAAAAAGGCAATGCCTGAACCTCATCTTTTGCGTTGTTGCAGAGCAGGCCTTCACGGAGGCTGACAAAAGCCACCAGTTCGGCAGGCTCCTTCGAGGCAACCACAGCGACCTGAGCAACCCCATCACACAGCCGTCGCACTCTCCCCGGCCCCACTCCTACACTGTCCTACACTGTCCTACACTCTCCTACACCACCTCTTCCCGGCGAGGGGCCTCTTTGAGACCGGGCCGCGGCCCGCTTCCGAGCTCAAGACCCGACGGCCCATCCTCCACATGACTTCAGGTGAACAGGTACCTTTCAAGCACTAAGCCTTAAGCCCTCTCAGCACCTCCTCGGAGGTCACGTAGGTATACCTCGGAGACAGCCGTTGCACTGTTGCAACAAGTTGAAACTCTGTTTCCTGCAAAATCTCCGAAGCTGAGACTCAACCGTCTGAGGACTGCTTCAACCTCCTCCGGCTCAACGCGAACTCCACGAATCTTCACCTGCCAAAAGTGCAAAAGCTCCAGCAAAGCTCCGCAGCTGCCGCCAGACACCCATGGGTAAACAAAAAGCACTCCGGAGAGCTTGAGCCTGACGATCCACGCGGCCAATCACCTGCAACTCGAAGATATCGACATCACATGTCGGGTAAATGTTACATGTCCACTTCTCTAGAAGTTCTCGTTGGTGTACCTTGGTCATACCTTGGTCTTTCTTGGGGTCTCTTCGCTCTGGACTTTGGTCTCACATCTGCACCCAGCCTCCAGCTGCCCAGCCCTCCACCGGCCCATGTCTCCCGTTCTGTAGAGTCTGCCGAACTCCTGCCACCACACCGATCTCACAGAATGCTCTTGCGCAAACATGCCAACTATAGCCAGGCAATGCCCATTATGCCAGTGCTTCGATGGCACAGCTTTCAGACCCCAACAACATGAATTTAGCTTCATTCTCTGTTAAACCAAATTCGACACTGAAGCATCGGGGGCTTGCACGCACTGGCTGCAAGGCACTGAGCAATGAAGAGCAACGTGACGTGTGACCCGGAACATCCGAAAAGACGTCCTTCGTGTCGACCCACTTCTGGGCGGTCAGCTCTTCGTGCTTCCAGTAGCCTCGAGCTATGCAGCATGGTGGAGAAACACGAATGCGGAAAAACCAATGCACATGCTGCAAGCTTTAAGCCCCGCATTAGCGGTTGCCATGGGCCTGAAACTTTAAGCGACTTCCAATCCCATGTTGAATGACACGCCTGGTCCAACCGCAGACTCTGCCCGATCGATCGTGGGCACCATGCAGTAGTGCCAGATTGAGCCAGATGGGGTCCCAGCCATATTGAACCGTGAACCTGTCTTGTTCTTGTATGTTTCTGTAATTGCCGGGGCCGTAGCATGCAGCCAGAACGCCGCCAAAGCAAATCTCACCTGCCTCCGATAGTGTTGTGCAACAACAAAACGTCACTACTCTGGCACAAAGATTGGAGAGCCCATGTTTCAGAACGTTCTGCTTCTCATGTCTTGGCGCACCTCACCACCAGGAACTTGGACCAGAACGGCAGGTCCAGACTCCTACAGAGACGCAGGAGACTGGTCGGGACAAAAATTGGTATCTGAAGCTGAATGCACGGGCAAGAAGCGGATCCTGAGCGTCTTCCCTCATCACGAAGACTTTCGAATGTGGCTGGGGCCGACCACATGGGGCCTTGAGGCAAGAAACCATGAAGCAGCCACACCGAAACAAAAAAAAACACATCGAACAAGTTCACTCCTGTCCCTGGTACATCCGACGGCCTTCGACGGGAAGATTTCCAGATCAATCCCTTCCTTCGGGACGGTGTACACCTGGCAAAAAACACAGCCAAAAACACCTAAGTGACCTGAGTTCTCGCACGTACCAAGTCGAGCCAGATCGCTGGGCCGATTTCGAGAAGTTCCATCTTCAAGAGTTCGATGGCAGTTTATGGACGCGCGCTTCGTTTGCAGATCCTCGCAGCAGTTTCGTTTGCCCGCTCCCGAAGTCTAGCTGTAAGGGTATATACACTTAGTCGTGCTACAGTGGGCGAGGGCATCGTCTTCCATGCCCGCCTGCTTTGGTACGCGAATTGGGATGTTGTCAGGATTGTGTTGACTTGGCACGGTCCATTCTACAATCGCAACGGTTCGTTTGCTGCAAACGGCTGTTCGACATCTCACCCTCACCCAGCCATCTTCCGCCTTTTGCACTACAAACGGAGGGACTGGAAAATTCGATCATTGACGATAGCGCAGCGTGATCCAGTGACATCGAAGCTGCCCAGGGCGTCTAACCCGAAGGGTTGACATGGAAAGCCCGTCTTCGCTTGATACTGTTGGTGCCGAGTTCAAGGGCAGGATCAGGCGCTTCTTGGCTCAATATTCGAGGCTAGGTCTGCGACGTGTTCTTTGGCAATGTGGTGCTGGCGCTGTCGCTGCACCCGTTTTTGTTTAGGCCAGGCGAGAAAACTTGCTGGGGCAGCTGAAGAGCACGCAGCCGAAAGCCTCGATACAATCACCTTTGCACTCTACAGCTTAGAAAACCTGTTTTCTTTCACCGAGTGAGCCCACTGCCCCTCTCGTGCTTTTTCTGGAAGTATGGCAATGATGGCAATCTCTGGGCAATGAGAAGTATTTCGCAGATTTCACGCTCTTACACTCTTGTGGCTGTGCGCTGGCCTCGCTGAGCTGATGCTGTACCCACCGGGCTAACAAGGATTCGAGTCTGACGATGACGTATGTCACGACATGTGATGTGGCACGACTTCCTTCACACACAACGTCAGTGCAAGCTTCCCAAGTCGGGGCTTCACCCAAGACGTGCAGGGCTCACCGTGCAAGAGCTTTCAGATGCTCCGTAGAAATTGTGCACCTGTGCCTGCACTTGGAGCGACGGGCACCATCTTGTCCAGGTGTTGCACTAGGACTTGTGTTGACAGTTGCTATGTCCATGAGTCAATCCAACAAAGGCTGTCGGGAGGTGAGGGGTCAGTATTGTGTCCTGGATGACACGTGCACGGTATCACACCGACTGCTCAAGCTGCATTTCGGCTATATCTTGCAAGGAGTTCCTTCCACCGCCTGCACCGTGCTGATCCACGAAAACCTTGAACGCTTGAAACCGCTGAACCGTGACCTTCAAACCGTACGACACACAAACCAAGGACTCCTGATACAGGAAATGATATAACAGCATCGGAGGCCTCCAGACCTCTGGTTCGCATGGCACCTCTCCGGCAGTCAGTACAGCTTGTGCATCTTGGGCATCATGAGAACATGGAACACAGAGAGCACGTGGAACACATGACTCACATGTCACAGGCCAAGCACACATGCAGACTAGTGGCGGTTGGCGACTGCACAGCCCAGCGGCTCACCGACGGTGACGATGTGCTTCACCTAGAGCACCAGCGCTTCAGATGTCATATGATGTCATGCTTCAAGCCTCACCAGGCTTAGGGAATACGCAACCCACATTTTTTCCAGCACCAGTGGTGAGGCATGCTAGTGTAGGCATGTCCAAGCTGGTCGCGGACTCCTGCCGGCTTTTCCGGGCTCAAGCTAATCACATGTACCATAGCTCCGCGAGTCAGAGATCATAGCCCGCTTGTCGGGATAGCCTTACTTCACATCGTCCCAGCCCCTTTGAACTGATTTTCTGCTGCAGCAAGCCTAGCCGTAAGCTGCTGCTACCTACTACTAAAGACAGGAACAACTTGCGTAAAAGACTGGCAACAGGCAAAGTTCGTGACATCCAAATGTCTACTGAGGGCCGTGAGGCCTCACCTCATGCATATCATTCTGGGATGAAAGCCCAGGCCGGTCAGCGATGACTTTATCCCTTCGAACAAGCGGCGTCTGACCGCATCACAAAAAGTGCTAGATATCGAATAGTCAACAACATCCAAATACATCCAAGCTGCAAACAAATGGTTCCGGAACCTTTCCAGGCCAGTAGTTCATGTTCTCGAAGATGCACAATGCAGCTGGAGCAAGAAAGATGCGGACCACATAGACATCAAATGCCACTCCGAAGCAGTACAAGCAGCCTGAGCACCAGAACAAGCTTCGGCTGCGCACATACCCGGATCTACCCTCCCCCCCCATCCAGTTCCTTTGGCAGTGCTACTGACGCCATCTGAGCCGACGACCAATTTGTGCGATCACCGGAACAGAGGACAGGAACACAAAGGCAAAAGAGATCACCATGATCGTGCCTGCGAGGGTAATCAAGGGACCTGTCTCTTCAAGGCTCAAACGCACGGCGGAGGCATTGTCATAACCTTGCTGTCTGCGCTCATACACACGGGCGAAAAGGAAGAGGTCGTAATCCATAGCTAGCGCAAAAAGGAAACCACAGGTACTGTGCACCATCGTCCACTTTAAGCCACCCGTGGCATCAAAGCCAGCCCAAGCAAGCCAGCCGTCTTGATAAACACCAACAGCAAAGCCATACTCTGCCATGATGGGCAACGCGATTGTGAAGACCTTGCATTGAGAGGGTCTCTGTCCCACAGCCAAAAACACTAGCTGCAACTAGACTAGCCCTATACTTTTCTCCTTCACTGGGGCACGCACCATCTTGACACCGACAAAAGTGGACTGGAACAAGGTGGCCACCATGAGGCAAACAATTCCGAGGGTGATACCCAGGATCCAGGGTGCGGCCTGCCTGTACTGAGCTTCAAGGAGCATGTCCTCTGCGACTGGAGTGTAGAGCTTCAAAGAGAACAGGGTTTCACCACGACCATTCTGAATCATCACATTGGGTTCGATGACATCCCAGAAGTGGTGAATCAGTTTCTGCGCAGCATGTCCTTGCTGGTCTTCTATGTCTGAGAACATGAACATTCGCTGCGAAGCCTTGTCATCAGATATGAAGGTCTCTTTCCAGGTCGGGTTGTGTGCGCAGGACCCTGTGATAGAGTCCCACCAATATCCAAGCACGTTGTGGGAAGTAACATTCACAGATTGGCATGCATCATCTTTCAGGATTGTGCGCACAACCTGACAAGCTGCCTGCTGAAAGGCTGCGCTTCGGGTCCAGTCACCTGCATGACTAACTTCCGATGAATTTGTCAGTAGCTTTGTTGAAGTCATTAAAAGCGTCATCTGTCTCAGCTCGCGGTCGTCGAACTTGTCCCGAAGCATGTGATATGCATCATACTCGGATACAGATCTTGAGAAGTCTGTGAGGGTAACGTCAAAGTTGGCACGGAATTGCCAAATCTGCAGAATCAGGGGACTGAAACCTGCCAACACCAGAACTGGCAAAACGTAGTTCCAGGGCTTGCCAGTGACGACCTCCGCAACAGGCCTAAAGAAACCTGTCTGTACCATCTTCGATCCATGTTGCATCCAGTCCCAGAAGGTGCTATTTGGCTCGTCAAACGTCGATGGAAAAATCGATGCCAACACAGGTGGCACCGCAATGCTGTAAAGACCAACAAAGAAGCTTCCAAATGCCAGGTTCAGGGTTGCATACAAATAGCCTAGCTTGTTCAAGTCAGGATAGCAACTTGCACCCAGAAATGTAATCACGAGGATGGAAGTACTGAGGAGGATGACAAAGCCTGAGGTCTGCAAAGTCTTCATAAGCAACAAGCCAACGTCGGCAGATGCACGTGAACGACGCTCCTGTGAGAAGCGCACCCAGAAGAAGAGCGCATAGTCAAAGGCAAGTGCCAACTGCACAAACAGAATTTGAGTGTCTGGCCCGACCATATTCAACTCTGGCCAAAGATGCTTGATCAGAACGATGACGCTTCGTGAGGCAGGAACACTGGCAAGAAGGCATAGGCACGGCGTTATGGCACGTGGTAGAGTCCCAACACCGAGGATCAATAACATTACCAGGAGTGGTGTGCTCAGGGTAAGGTGAAACAGTGTCTCACTGTCACACTGCTCGTATGAGGCATCGACCACCGAATGTGGGCCGGCCATTGCTACATTGAGGTTTCCAAATCCATCCACTTCTTGGACATACTCACGGATTTTGTAGAGACATGGATTCCGGTGTCCGATGTTGCCTTTCACATGCAGATCAAGCCTCATGACAGCGGCATCTTTGCCGGAGGCAACTTCTGCAGACTTCCACTGCAACTTCTGACACCTGTCGGTCTCCTGCAAGCTCTTCAGCTTGCTCTCAACAGCTTGGGTCAAGTCCGTAAAGTTGCGGTTTTGCTGGAGATCTGATTTACTCCATATCAGGATAGCGTCGGACAGCATGCCTTCAGCATTGTGTCCGAAATCGTTCGTCAAAGACTGTGCGGTGCTCTTCAGCCTCCCAGTGAGGGGCACAAAAAAGCATCAAAAAACATGACAAGATGCACAGAAACCCAATCAGCCTGGTGTTGTAGGGCTCCAGGTGGAGAGGCTGCACCTTCAACGCCTAAGTGTGGGAGTCAAAGGCGCTTGTTTTGCGAAACGTTTCAGCTTCAAGAGTCCACAAAAACCCACAGCTCGACATCAAAGCTCACTAAGTGTCACCGTGAAGCAGAGTAGGATGCAGATGTGCAAATAGATATGAGGAACGCGTGAGTCAGCAGGCAAGCGCTGCAGAGGGGTCTCTTCAGGAGGAACTCGAAGCCGGCCAAGAGCGGCCTCGGCTCTCGCATGAACCCCGCACACTTAGCATGTGAACCCCAAACTCTGGTTTGACTGCTTCTCTCTCTTTCCTAATCTCTTTCTTTCTGGCTTTCTTCTTCACTGCTCCTTCTTCCTGTGCTCTCTCTTTTCAGCCCTTCTACGTGAGCCCCTGGCCTGCTCGTGATTAGCTCACTTTCACATGCCCCCTCCTGAACATCCTGAACCATCGCAGCGCTGGGGCCTAGTGGACATAAGACCTGGAGCCATGAAGGCTGCAGACTGGCTTGGATCCAGAGATCTGCCACTTGTAGCCGGCAGCGGGGACTGGCGGTCTATACATACGAGCTGAAGCCATCGGCATAACGATGCACAATGAGACCCAAACCGAGCGAAGGGGTCGTGCATTGCCTTGAGAATCGTGAACATCCAGAACCAGATCCAGAACCTCCCAAGTCAGCTGAAGAAGACACCAAGCGGCAAGCAGGCCAAGATGCATACAAAACCTCGGCGAGGACTCGAAGCTCCGGCCGGCCTGCGGAGTTACCATGAAGACCCTGACCTGGCGAAGATCCGTAGCTTCAGTAGGAACCCTGTCAACAGCCCAGGCCCCAAGTCGCCCCGGCCCGGGGAATTGAAAGAGAACGAGGGGAGGGGAACGAAGGGGGTGGCCGCGTTCAAATCATCAATCTGGGTCCTCATGTAAGACGACAACTCCTTCTCTTCGGACCGAGACTTGGGTAGCTCCCTGACATGCTTAAGCTCAAGAAGCTGCAGACGCCACCTCCTCAGCGGCAATAGTATTGGCCAAGTACTCAGGGCCTCGTTGAAGGACCACGAAGATGAGCCAAGGCTTCTGTCAAAGCTTGCCCAGCGACAGAAATCTCCAAGAATCAGGCTTTTGTGTCCATTGGCTGATGCAACAACCAACTTGCCACCTAGGTGGAAACAATTGGAAACAGATGCAGTTGCTGGTTGCTTCGAAAAGCAGCATTCTCCACACCAGCCTTGCGTCAACACCGGGAACATCTCCCACTCCTGCAGTCGCATTGACAGGTCTTCGGCAGGCCGTGCGTCTTTTGCAGACGAGAAGCGATGATGGCCCAAAAGTACCTCGAGCAGGCACAGAGAAGTACCCCAAGATTCACATGCCGTTGGCACTGGTCTCAGGGCGCACGGAGACTTTAGTAACGCCACAGATGTTGAATCCACCTGGCCTGACAGAAGCATCGGCAAGAAAACACCATGAAACACCGCAAGGCTCAAAGGTCTAAGTCACACACAGTGGCTGCCGAAGAAATACACACCATGCATGAGGTGTTGGTGATCGTACACAATGCCCTGCCAACAGTATGCTGCATAGCACTGCAGCACATTCTGAGGACAACTTCAGGTGATTCAAAGTGGGAAGGTGCCTTGGGAGCACCAGTTGTTCCGGAAGTGTAGATCAGCAGAGCCATATCGGATGCCTGAAAAGCATAGCACAATGCTGCACGCATGTTAGTGACCCACACCTTGTTCACATGCGTTCATACTCATGTTTCGAGAGCTCCTTCAACTAAATCCGGAGTCGGTACATGATTTTCAAGACAGACGTGGAAGCCTAGAGCCATGCGCATTTGCACATTGGAGCGAACCCTCTTCAACTTACCTCATATTGCCTCAGTCCTGGCCACGATCCACCTGCCCCGACGCCCAAACCTGCTGCAAGCTTCAAGGGGATCTGAACGCAGGCCTCTGGACGACGATAGCCGCCTGCGTAGCCCGCGCTTAGGCCTCGATCAAGCCGCGGCAATCGCCACTCACGGTCCAAGCTGAGCCATATGAGCTGAGCGTAGCGGAGCTCTCACATAACACCAAACTTGCGAGGCTTCTGCCAGGCTCACCCTCGAAGGAGTGTGTGCGCGACCGCTGCCTGCGCCTTGGACGGAAAGCTGTCCAGGCTTCCCAAAGCAAGCAAACGCACCCGCACGCTTCCAGCATGTATCCATGACTCTTACACTGCAACCTTCTCTTGGATCGATCCGAGAAGCAGCAGCTGCAGACCAGACCGGGAGCCATCCGCAGGCAAAGCGAGGAAGTTGCAACCAATCTGCGCAGTCACTCCATGACACGCAGGAGCATCAGGGATCATCAGGGAGCGTCACAATCTCAAAGCCTCCGTTGCTAGCTCACGAGCCACTTCATCGCCTCCCAGGCAATAACAACTCCACTGAATGAGCCGAATCCTGATTGGCCTGCCTGCGACTCCAATCATGGCTGCTGCTTCACTTTCATGAAGTAGAAACTGCTTTCGCGCCAGTGGGGCATCCTGCTCAGATGAGCACCATGTCAGAGAGGGTGGCTAAGCCCCAGGTCTGAGTCCACCGCATTGTCCACAGGCAGAAACGCAGCACCTGCCTGCAAACTGTTAATTACATTGCACATACTTGGACCCTTCCTCACATTTCTTCACAAGCTCTGCTTTGCAGGCCTTCAATGTGCCGTACACCGCCACCACTTGCGCCACGCTTCGGTCCATGACCAGCGCGACAACCTGAACAGAAGCAGATTTTTTTGAAATCTGCACAATGTTGAACTGTTGACACACGCAAACCAAACCAAATCTGCACAACACAGAACTTTTGCCGACTGGAGGATCCCGAGGCAAGGGCTGACCCGCATGAGATGCCCAAGGACAGCAGTGAATCAGCAACCTGCCACAGCATCCACGCTCCACAACCTCCACCCTTCCTCAATGTTGAGTTGCGGGCCTCATCCACACATGCAGCCAACTCTTTGTACGTTATCTCCTCCCAGGGTTTGGTATGTGGCGAAGACATCTGCATGGTGGAAACACCCGGGTCGGAGAAAAACAACACACACACACACACACACACACACACACACACGAGACACACACACACACACACACACACACGCACACGAGACACACACACACACACACACACACACACACACACACACACACACACACACACACACACACACACACACACACACACACACACACACACACAGAGACACACACAAAGACACAGACACACAGACACACACACACACACACACACACACACACACACACACACACATTCATTCCAACTGGCGAACAGCTCATGTAAGCACTCACGTGAGCACTCTTGTCTGAGCACACGTCTGAGCGCGCGTGTGTCCTGGGAGGCTCGGCCCGCCCCAGGAACCTTCCGTTGCCGAAGCAGAAAAACATTCACTTTCTTTGCATCCGGCACGGTACCAGCCTTTGAAACATTTGGGGCTCTGAGGCTTCTGCGATTAGAGCTGTCGCCGCAGGACGTTCCTGCATAGTGCCGAGTGCCAGTTGGCACAAGGCGCATTCGAGCTGCAAGAGCTCAGGCTCACAGGCCCGGCAATCGTACACAACAGCTCTTGAGGACGGACCTCCGTTATTGCAACCATACGATGACAATACTTCATCGGCAGGACATGCTGTAGAACTGCAAAGTACAGGATTGAGCTTTGCAGATTCGCGGATTCGGGTATCCTGCCTTTGCCTGCTCCTCGAAAAGCTCAATGACTCTCCTGCCATTCACATTCGAAGCAGTGGCAGAAATGAGAACAGAGCAGCAACAGATGTCAACAGATGGCAACAGCATCGCGCGACTTTTTTGACTTTTTGACTTTTATCTTGTCTGAGCGCATAGTCAGCATAGTCACATCACGCACCCTGCTGGCTTCCTCCGTCAGGTCCATGTCCAGCATCGGCCGAGGCTCAGCGGTTCAGGAGTGCATCTCTCCACTATCTCTCCGTGCATCTCGTGGCGCAATGGGCTCACTGGAAGCTCGCGGGCTTCCCTGAATGGATCCCCCATGGTTCCTTCTCTCTTCCTTCTTCAATGACTACGGTGGACCCTGGAGGATGGAATCCGGCAGCCTCAGGGGTTTCCCACTCATCAGGCTGGGAACGCCCACGGGGCCAAGAAGCCCCAGCGGTGGCCTCATTGACTCATGGCTCTCATAAACACTCTCAAAGCTCATAGCCTCTCATATCACAATCTTGCACGTCTTTTGTCGACCATGTTGCTTTCAAAAAGATCCCGCCTGAACTCATTCTTGCGATGCTCTGGCTTTGGTCTTCGGGCCTCTGGAGCAAATCTGCGCACTTCGTCCTTGTCGTCGTTCAGCTTCTGGCAGCTGTCTGAGAGTGCCGTCCATGTGTCGGGCGGCGAATAATCAATTCCGAGCAAGGCGTTTATCTCATCGGCTAGAACGACAAACTCTGGTTCCTTTCCAGGGCAATTCAATGTACTTAGCTTCGAATTCTGTGTCAGAACAGCTCGGGGGGGTCGGTGGGGCTGGTAGTGGGCTAGTGGGCTTTCCTTACACGTGGCCTGGACGTAAGGCTTCATGTCTCCCATCATCTTGTAAACGCCCAATGAAGTTCCTTCGTATCCAAATTTCGGCAAAACCTGGCTCTGCACAGTGAGAAATAGCTTCTGCCTCAGAGCAAAATGTGAAAGACAAGCCGCCCATGCTACACACGAGTTCAAAGCACAAGCCCATTGCCTCTGTTCCAAGAACTGCGTCTTCTTCAGCTCGCCTCTTTCGCACTTCTCCTTCAAATCTTGCAACGCGTCCTGACATGCAAAGGAGGATGGCCAGAAACAACAACGACGGTCGGCTGCGCACTCCCTATTCGTAGCCCCAATCCATGCTTTCGCTTCTTTTACCATATTGTCCTGGAACTTGTCTTCAGAAAAGCCTGATCGAAGGGCTTTCTGCAAGGCAACGAAGGATTCCAGCGAGCTCGGAGACTTGGACGCAGCGGCAGCTGTCTCCTCTGCAACCCATGATCCGCAAAACAGAGAGATTGCCCACAAAACCGGACGCAAGAAACTCACAGAAGCACCTCAAAGGAGAACTTCTCCGCCTTTTTGGGGACTTCCTTCGGCTCGAACCCGGCAAGCAGCACTTCGCGGAGTTGCCCGAGGGACTCGTTGTCCTTGTAGGAGCAGTACACCCCACCTGACATGCGTTTGACTCCTTTGACAATGCCTGACAATTTTTGCCAATGTTTGCCTATGTTTGACAAGGTTTGACAACGCTTGACCCGTAGCGGCGCAGCATGGCATAAAGTTTCAAAGGGTCGGCACCTTCCTTTCTCACCAGCTGACCTGAGAAAGACGCTTCGGCATCCTGTTCAAGAGCCAAACACTGAGACTGCAGGTGTCTTCAAAGGCAAAGCTTGCTGGTAGGCAACACGCAGCAACATGATTCCACATGATTCCCAATGTCACGGCCCATGTCCGTCCTCCAAAAAGCGTTTGGCTAGGGCCCGCTTTAAGTGGCCAAACGATGCATCTTGAGGAAGCGAAACGATCAGCTCCCAGCCATGTATGGCGTGACGCACCAACACCTCCGTCAGGTCCCTCACTTGGCCCCCAGTAAGTGGCACCGCGGGCGCAGGCTCGCGTGTGGCTGGCGTCTTGGCCATCTTGGCCTCCTCGGCTTCTTCTTCTCCTCGGCTACGAGGGAGTGATGGAAATTCAGCCACACAAGCCCACACAGATCCAAGCTTCCAGAAAGCTCGTCGAAGTCAAACATGGTTGCAGCAACTTTGGACACAACCCACTTCCAGAGCCGCAATGCACTGCGAGGCGCCCACACAAATTTGTAGTTGAAAACATGACACATGCCCATCATACACAAACCCCCGTCCCGTCCTGTCTGAGGGATAAGATGGCGTCGGCCTGAGGTAGTTTCCCACAAGATTCCACAATGCCAAGCCCTTTGAACCGCCATGTTCGCCATGGCCCTGGCCCAATCGCAAGATGGTCAGACTGACTGCACAGCTCAGCGACATCCTGCAATTGAGGCATGCGGCATGCGAGTAACAAATATCAAGGCGTGCGTCACGGCGTCACGCCCACCTCCACCAATGGTGTCCGCTGGTCACGCATTCGCATAGCCTGTGAGCATCCACTCTTTGGCATGAACGAGTGGCAGCGGAACTTGACAGCTCATTGGCGACAACCTTGCTGAGCAAACTGCCCTGGCACCAACACCAACGCTTTGCTTGACACGCCGGCAACATGCTGCAATCTTGGGCCTTGGGGAATGAATCATTACTCACCGCAAACGCTAGACTGCACACTGCAACTCAAAACACCTGAGGGTAATGCCAACGATGCACGACAACGCAGACCAACGCCCAGAACCTCGGTTGTGCAGCATGATTGAACTGTACTGACGCATCCACAACAGCGGTCTGTGATTCAAAACGAAACGCACGACGAACGAGTTGGGTTGTGCGAACACGAGTATGAAGCTTTTGCTGGGGACGCGGCAGCGCGTATCCGATCAAAAACACTGCCTTGTCGCCTCCTGGCACACCATCAACTCCAGCAATAACCTAGCTGTCGGCATTCGGACACAGCCTGTCCACGCGGTGTTCGGATTTCGCCAGTCCTGGCACCAGAACAAGACGTGGTGCTAATCGTTGCTAATCGGTGCTAATCGATGCTAATTGGTGTTGTTCAGTACCTGGCCCCGTACCGGCCTTAGCAAATGGGAAAACGCCACTTTCTGGATCTTCCTCCGATGACCTTGACATGGGACACTGGAAACCATCTCCCCCTACAGCGTGAACAAGAAAAAATGCAGGAGCCTCAAATACCAACGTGGCGCAGACATGGCTTTGCCCGCCGTTCTTGTGGATACAAGATAACTCCATTGAACATGCTGGCATGCTCGAACTAAACTACGGAGATGCCGACATGAACATGGTTCATAGCAGCTTGTCATATTTAGATGCACGTTGTGCTTGACCTCTACGACACTGACATGCACATTGCTGGACAAAAACAGGCGGCGATCGCACGCAGCTAGAGCTTCAACAAACAAACATCACCAGCATGCTGCTGATCAAGTTCATGTCAATCACAAGAACAGATTTTCATTTGATGTAAGTATACGGGGCACCTAATGTAAACTCGAATCTTACACACCACACCTCCCCGCCACGAAAACAACAGAATTGGTGTCGTGAACATCGCACACCTGTTGTCAGCATAAAACCAACCAACAACCATGCTCCAACGAACTCTGCCAATCCTGCGGACACTTAAGGGACCTTCTGAAGGCCGCAATCTTTAGGATCACTAGAGAGGTCGCCAGCACTCCAGCACTCCACCACCCCGGGTCCCTTGCCATGTGCATAGGTTTCCTACAAGCAATAATCCAAACAGAACCCTGCCCATAAGGTTTGGAGTTCAGTGTTTGGAGTTTCGCATTGCACAACTTTTGTGACGCGTGGACTCCCCGATGCCTAAGTCCCACACCGACGGAGGTGTTTTTGTCTTATGTGTTGCGGGGCAACTTTTTCTTTGGTGTGGCAGACAATTCTTTGCTTGGTGTGACGAGTTTGTTTTGTTCCGGAGCGAGCGAGACCCTTGTTTTCCCCAAGTGCGGCGGGGGGCCTCTTTTCCAATTTCCGACAGGTGTGGCAGATTTTCGCTTCCTAAGTGCAGCAGGCAATATTATGCTGTTCCTGCACGCAAGCTTGCACAGCGGAGGAGGTGGGGGGCGGGAGGGGCGGAGGGGGGGGAGGGGTGAAGCGAGGGGGCATGGCGCAGATCTCACACAAGGCATCCTGGATCGTCAGAGAAATGTGCTGGATCGCGCCAAACGATGGTCAGGGTCAATTGGTAAAGGTCGTGTCTATTTCCGTTTTGTTGTAAAATGTGCTCGTTAAGGTGGCATTTGTTTGATATTCAGTGTCTAATAAGTGTGTTAAAGAACAAATATTCTGAAAGTTTTGAAGTTGCTTTGTATTTAAGATCGCGATGTCCGCGGCGTTTGTTGCCATGTCCGTCGAGTTTGCCGTGTTGATGTCTCCCACTTCTGTTTTCGTAGTGTATTGATCGTTTATTTCCGTCATTCCCATAGAATACGACAAGTATATCTGATCTGCAAATACAGTTTGTAAGTTGTTTATAGAAGCCATTAGTAAATTAATTTAGACTTTATTAATTTAATAATGATTTTATTTTTGTTCTTGCTCCTGCTTCCTTTGTTGGTAAAGTTCCCGTTGTCGTCTGTGTATTTCTTCTCTTTTCCTTTCACGATACTCTTTTTTCTGTTGTAAAACCTTTTCTCTGTTTTGTTCTCTATATTCTTTTCTTTGTTGTGCTATACGTTCCTTGTTTTGTTCTTTATATTGTTCATTATATTCCGATCGCTCTTCTTGTGTTGCTCATAGTACTGGGTGCTTTTGTTTCAATGTTTCCTTGTTATTCTCTCTATACTGCTTTTGACGAATACTGATTTTTTCTTTGTTTGTCTCCGCATATTGTTTAACTCTCTCCTTTATCTCTTCTTTCTTGTCTTGATAGAGTTGTCCCTTGCTTCTGCCTTCTGTTCGATTGTTTAAAGTAGCCATTTCTCTAATGAAATGTCCTTCTCTTGCTCTTAACTGATCGTTGTTTTCACAAGGGTATTCTTCTCATAACTCGATGTAAAAATTTTCTGTGCCTAATTCGCTCATGTTTTGGTATATTTTGTTATGATATTTGGTTGCATCTTTGCAACTGTTACGATGAAACGCCATTCTTTTGCTTAGCGGCTGACACCTTGATCCTATGTAAATATCATCAGTGATGTTGTTTCGGATACAGTATATTTTCCCTTTCTGGAAGTCTTTACTCATACTATATATATATAACTATAACTTACTATTTCTTTAAATCTATTTTATGCTATTTTCTACACATACGGTCACGCACGTAGTCCAAAACCGTTGAAGCCGACTCACTAAGCTCAAAGACGTGCTCACTTATAAGGGTGACATAAACTTGCTCGACGCCGAGGGCGAATGCGGTGTTTGCCCCTTTGAATTTAAAAGTCAATAAGTAACCCATTTTGGTGTTGCTTCCGGTAAAACTCATATCGGGTTGCTTATCGAAATTTTTTTCCACCGATAAACTTGTCGTTGGCATATCTGTAAATGTCAATGGAAAAGCCGTCGTAAAATGGAGACATAACATTAACGGCACGGCGAAGAAAATACATTGCCTCTGCTACACTTTCTACCACTTGTTCTGGGAACTCTTTATTAGCAATCTGAACATAATATGAAATTCGTTTGTCGCTGTCAATTACAGATAGGCGGGATAAACCATTCTAATTCGCATCTAAGAATACAATTTTGAACGGACCAACTAGTTGTTGTGTTTCTTGTGGTAAAGTATAAACCATTGACATCGTCTTCTGCCTGAGTTCCTGCTACTGGTGTAGCCGGTTTGATTACGGGTTCTTGTGCATGGGAAAAAGTTTCGAAAATAAATTCTAATCGGCAATTTCCCATAGGGGGTAATACCCTGATTGAACGAAACCGCAACAAGGTTTGTGCCCCATCCGCACGAATTACCTTGCTCAATTCCTGTCGTATTAGCTCTTGTAAGTTTTGGTAAGACAATTCCTCTATCATTTCTACCAGTAGTAGCGGTGGCATCGTGAGTTTCAATTGCAAATGCATTAAGTCTGTTAATCCTGCTGTCGTATCGTGTTAAACAACCTTCTTGGATGTCGTCTAAATTTCTTACTTCTTCGGACTGAAAAGATTTCATTTCTTCGCATACTAAATTGCAATTATCAATGTCATTAATTTGTTGTCCTGCCGCGTTGCATCTATAACGAGTAAAGAAGGCGTGGCTTTCACCTAAGGGTCTTAAATATTCTCCTGCTGTGGTCGATGTGTTCACAACATCAAAAAATAAGCAAATGCTGGACATATCGATATAGTTGTTGTCTTCTCCGGTAATCACAAATTTAGTATATTTATTTCCGTTATTCGAACTAAAGACATTTCCGGATACACTGGGGAAGTGGACTTGCCTACGATCGGTGATGTAGGCGGCGCTTTCGGGAAGTCCGAACTGTAAAGCGTTTATCATATTATCCTGAGTTTCTGCTATAACTAAATCCATAACTTATATAGTATTTATTAGGTTTTTGAATTACTAATATGTTTTTTTTTGTGAATTTAAATGATTCCTATTTTTTGAGTACGTTTTTCCAATTGCGGTTGCGCCACTGCTGATGTTTTCCCGGCTTCTACACCATTCCCCTGATCATTTCATAAAACGAATTGTTTATACCCTTTGGTATTTTGTTTGTGAATTGGATGTTCTCGGGGATTTTCCCCACCCTCGTTTGTTCCCTTGGTTTCTTGACCTTGTTAAGCATTACAACATATTTTATCTTAGAAAAACCCTAAACCCAACCCATCACTGGTATTCTTTCATCAATGCCGTGCAATCTGTCGATGTCGTGATTTGACACGGGGTTAAAACTGTTTGTGTCATAACTTATAGCCGCATTATCCGAACTACTAACGATGTCGCCAGTCATTCTAAATCGCTTGTGTTGTTCCGTCGGTTTGTCCAAACCAAAAATAGGAGCAATCAATTGTTACGGGAGCGTCGTAAGTTCTCGTTTTACAATTTTTATCCTTGAATTCTTTGTTTAATTCCAAAACAAACCTACCGCCCACGCTGTGCCCTAATAGTGTACTCACTTGCGGATTTTCCAACAATACTTGTTTCGCCTCCTTATACCTGTCCATATCTCTAATCCCGCCTGTCTTGAGTTTGGTGAAATTTTGTTGCCAGTCTTTAGCAGAAGTTGTGCCTCCTACATACATTTTGTTCCCCTTAACGAAACTTTTATTATCCCGATCGTATGCTAATTTAATACTCTGAGTATTTGAAAATTTACCGTTAGTGTTGAGCATTTTGTTTAATTGTGCTTCTATCTTTGTCAATATATAAAAAAAGATTATAAATTATTTTTGTCAATTACACTATAGTATAAATGAGCATCAGACCATTAACTTATAAAAAGGTGTATGTAAATTCAAAATATCGCACTTCCAATAGTCGTGGTATAAGCGATTTTCAAATAGAATTGAGAGAAACCTTCGAAATTCCCGACGGGACAATTACGCAAGTCCACGAAATCTCAATACCGAACACTTGGTATTCGATAAACACGAATAATCAAAATCTGTATTGTCGGCATCAGATCATTGCACCTGCAACACCGCAAGGCATAACATATAGGCGTATAGAAATACCAGTTCAGATCGCTAATAAAAAGTTCCCAGAACAAGCGGTAGAAAGCATAGCAGAAGCAATGTATTTCCTACGCCGTGCCGTTAATGTTCTGTCTCCGTTTTATGATGGTTTTTCAATTGACATTTATAGATATGCTAACGACAAGTTTATCGGAGGAATAAATTTTGAAAAACAGCCTGATATGAATTTTACTGGTTCCAATACTAAAATGGGCTCCTTATTGACTTTTAAATTGAAAGGGGCTAATAAAAACTTTCGCGTTAGGAATTGAACAGGTTTATGTTACATTAGTGAGTGAACATGTATTTGAATTAAGCGAAAGTGCCTCAACGGTTCTGGATTAAATAAATAACACTATTATATTAAATATAATCTGCTTAATATAATAATGGCATCTTTACACAAGCTCAACACGGTTTATGCAAATGAAATATATAAAATATTTTCTACAGGAGTTAGTGAAATAGGCGACACATACGCTACAATAACAGATCTTAACAACCTTAATTTTTCAACGGATATAACAGCAAAATACTGACGCTATAGCAGTTTTAAATA